GTGAAAATATACATGGCGAGAGGTCATTTGTGCACTGAGAGGGAGCAAACTGTGTCTGTGAGCGCACAAGGATGTGCACAAGTGACAAACCTGCGTGCGCGCGTTGCCAACGAGCACACGGCAGAGGAAACGTGCACGTGCGGCAGCCTCTCTGCGCGCTCGGTTTCTGACTCCGCTCGCTCGGCTGTTATGGGGTTTTGGCACTCTGGAGGCGTGGCCTGTGGCAGATCTTCTCTGTCCTCTGATTGGTTAGTTTTGCCCGCACTTTACCCTCTACCTCATTGGCCCATTGGCTTCCTGCAGTGACCAACGGTGGTTGGCGAAACCAGATGTATGCTGAAGCTGAAGGAGAGTGAGACAGTTGAGCTAAAACCCACCAAACAGCAGCAAAGGAAACAAATAAGCAAAAGTCGAGAGAGCAGACATTTAGCCGCAAACATGGGTGTCAGCGCCATCTTGAAAATCAGATTTAATCACACTTAGATGTGAAGTTCAATAAATATTAAGAGATTTATTGACATATTTAATTTATGTTGCACACAGTGAGTGTTCGGTTGTCCTTCACAAGCGATGGGCTGCGAAAACGTGTAAATATATCGGCCTTATTAATCGGCTTTAGTTATCCAAATTCTTTAAAAATCGGTATCAGCATCGGCCTTAAAAACCCATATCTGTTGGACTCTACATGAAACAAGCAGCGTCACAGAACCGTTGCATTCTTCTGCCCTGATCCCTGCAGAGAAGCATCGTAATGCCATGCTGGGGAAGAGGCGGATGTGGCTGAACTGTTGGCGTGTGCTCGTGTTTCGTCTCTTTGGAAAGAGAAGCTTTTCGGATACCTTGTGTACTTTGTGTGAATGCATTTGGGTCTCTTGTTCTACTTTGGTGTTGGCTTTGGTAACTTCTGCACTTGACATGGTCATGAGAAGGCCCATCGCTGCTAGGGGGCCCTGCACGCACACGGGCTGCACACGAGGCAAGAGAAACACACACATCTGACACCTTCACACGCCATCAGGCCACACCTCCAATTCCTGAAAAGCTCCCCCCCGGTCCCACATCGGTGCCGCCATGTTCACGCCTCCGTGCTGCTGTGGGATTTACTGAGCGAGGAGAGAGCCACTGTGTGTTTGAGTGGAGACAAACAGCTTTCAAGGTTTCAGGTCGTTTACGGGACTGACAAATGCAAGGCTAGTCCAGACTTTAGGTAGAATTACAGGTATTGTGTTTCCAGTCATACTTTGATTTTTGATATTTAGAAATAATGGACTCCTTAATGCATTTGTCTTTGTTTCTGTGACCGTAAACTGTTTAAACTGTTTTCTAATAAATACAAAAGAAAAGAGTGAAGTTCTCAGAGAAAGCAGAACAAAATGAACTTAGGTGAAGGGACTGGTGTGAGAAAGCCCAGCGAGGGGGAAACACAGCTGGAAGGCCAATGATTGATGCAACAGCTGCTGCGTGGCGTCATCACATCCAGCTTCACTTCTCTTCAGCTCAGAGATTCAGCAGCTTTCCTTCTGCCGTTTCAGAACTCCCAGCTCACTCTGGAGCTTATTTAAACGGCTCGAGAAAGACGGGAAATGGAGGAAATGACCATAAAAGCTGTAGTATAACTTTTATTAACCCGCAGGCTTCACTGTAACTTACTTAGAGGACACACACGTCCCGAATGAAGCCGGAGGGCTAATGCTATTTAGCAAAGCTTAGAAATTCAAATGCATGCGTTTAAAGAGACAATCTGTAGTTTTTACCATTAGTTCCTGGAAATATTCATCAGAATGTTGTTGAAAATGAATGAAATGATGCCCAGCGGCTTCGTGACATATAACCATAAAAATCAAGACTCACCAAGGTGCCTGTCAGGGACTTGCATAAACCAGCCAGGAGAGCACGGATGATCTTCTTCACGTCTTCATTTATTACTATTTTTTTTCTCTCCAAAGAGGGTTCCAACCAGCACTCGACAGTACACGACAATGGACGTAGTAACAAGTAACCCAAACTCAGGACCTGACTACAGACATGTACAAAACAAACCCTCTTCTACAGACACAACAGGATCATCTTAAATAGTGGCTGATCAGACCACTGCCAACACAATAGGGTGAGGAAACATCAATAAACAAAGAACATAAATAAGCTACTCCTAACAAATTCATACTAATCAGTCCATTCTGTTTGAGTTACTTCAATATAGAGCTCCGGGAGTTGACGTCACTTCTCCCGGCATGCAACAGTTCAAATCGAAACGGCGCCATTTGGCAGGCAGAAGCCGGCAGCTGGACTATTTGTTATTGTCAGAAAACTCAATCAAACGGGAAATATGGTAGATTCCTGTTGTGCCCCAGGATGCAGAACAGACGCGGACAACATAAGGAATGAGCCATCTACAGGATTCCCCAAGATCCGGAGCGCCGCAAACGTTGGATCATTGTAATAAAACGCGCTAGTGACCGGGCGAAAATGAAGCTGTGGGATCCCGAGAGTAAAGGATTTCTCTTATGCAGCGACCGCTTCATATCAGGTACTTAAACCAACGTTTCCTCAACTGTGTATGGTATTTATTTTAAATGCTTTTATTACGATTCTTAGTGGGCTTCCTAAACTTATTTTGGCGGGGCTTTTTCTGTCTTATTACTCATAGCAACAAGTAAACGTCACGTAAAACGTTGCCTCGTGAGTTCTGCGTGCTGCCGTTTACGTGTTTTATGATCACAGCAATTAACCGGCTAAGCTGTATTTAATTTTTAAGCAATGGTTGATCAATTGTCAGATCAGACATAAAAAGCACTTTGGATTGCTATTATCTGTCTCACCGAGACTACTTACGTGTAAATCTGTTATTTGTCCGTCCATCCATCCATTTTCATCCGCGTATCTGGAATCGGGTTGCGGGGGCAGTAGCGTGACTTCCCTCTCCCCAGCCGCCGGAGCCAGCTCCTCCGGGTAAATCCCAAGGGGTTCCCCGGTCAGGTCCGGTGTTGTGCCGGTAAGAAATCCGCTCCGACAGCTTCTGGCGTCGGAGCGGGCAGTAGAGTCGAGAGTCCCAGACCTTCTCCCCAGCTCCTCCGGCCGGGGGAATCCCAAGGGGTTCCCCGGTCAGGTCCGGTAAGAAGTCCGCTCCGACAGCTTCTGGTGTTTTTAAAAAGTATCCCAGGGGCACGGTAAGGGTCGGAGATGTTTAGTCTATTTAATTTCTGACTATATAAAACGATTTCTTCTGTTTTAAAGTGTGAAGTAAACTCCGACGAAGTAAAATCCAAGCGGATCCCGTTCATGTTCATGGTTACATCCGTGTTTGTTTACCTTTTTTGCATGCCAAAATGGCGTCAACTAACTGAGAGTCACGTGGGGTCCGGAGCTCTATAGAGCTGCACAATATATCAAAAAATGATCGTCATCGCGATAACAGGACGTGCGATAGGCCCGTCGCAAAGCACGTCAAAAACGGCGATAAATGTTTGGTTCAAACATTTCCACCTTTTTGTAAACCAGCTCTGTTTTTTCACGGAAGTATTATTTGACCAATCAAATGTAGCCCTTCTGATATGCGGCCAATCAGATGGGTCCATTCACATATTACACCCGCCCCCTACGTAGACCCTTAGGATGGAAAGCAACACCCGAACTGCGGCGCCGTTCTCTTGTTCGTCATGCTGGCTCAGATTAACGAACGCACTTTGTGCTGATGTTTCTGGATTCAGCGCTGCTTTCAAACGTGAACGTGACTCCGCTCGGTGTCGTTAAGCAGCTGATAATAACCGGGCTGACTCCGACACGTGCCGGTGAACCAACCCACCGTTAGCCCCAGGCTCCGGTTAGCTTCCAGCTAAAAGGCTACAGCACTCTCCTCTAGGGTTGCCAACTCCCTGAAAAATAAATAAGGGACACCTCGCGGGCAGGGCCGGCCGCTCCAGGCCACCCTTCCCAGCGTGGTGAATTTTTTTGCTCTTTTTTGTGTGTGTGTGAAAGGATTTTTTTTTTTTACTATTTGACTTGAAGTTGGTTTAAGAAGATGCATATTCTTTGTGAAATAAAAACATGGGAAACAAATGAATTGTAGATTGAAAATGATTGAAGCAGAATTTACGTTACCATGTACACACAACACACACATGCATGCTTTACTATCACTGTGACATGACTAAACACACACACACCACCCCCTCACCCTCTGAAACAGGCAACAAATGGTGACAAGATGGAGAAAATCTCGGTTGATGTTATCGCTCGTTTTTTTTATCCGACCAATACCGATATGTTAAAAAATGACTCACATCGGCCGATACCGATACTGATGCCGATATATAGTGCATCCCTACGTTCAGACCTTGGTTAAGTTCTGGTTTTTTGCTGTTATAATATTTTTATAATTGACTTCACATGAAGTGAAAACCTTTTGCTCGGCCTCATACATCATTACAAAACACATGTTAATGCATAATGTATGAAGATCCCGTACTCTAAAGGTGTCAACGGTCCGTCACGGCCAGAAGGGGGCGTGGTCTACCGCAGTAAAGCTGCTGATGTGTAAACAAACACAAGAATGGAGGCGTGGCTGACAGCAAATGCATCAGATCCAATAGTTGATGTTCTGAATCTGCATTAGTAATCCTCAGGTTTTGTTTTCATCCAAACATGCAAATACTCCATTTTGGCTCCATGACTGGATTTTATCCCAAGTCTATCACCTCACCGACTCGTCATGGCTTCAGGGAGCTCTTAGCCGAGCGCCTCTGAATCATCTGTGTCTGAAATGCTCTCCCTTCATCCGTCTGTGCTGCCAAGAGCATCGACTCTAGTAGAGTTCAGCTTTCAGAAGACTGCTCATCAGCAGCAAACGGTGGAGCTAAACGTGTGACTCCTTAGAGGATTGGTCAGTAAGTGGAGGGAAGTGTTTTATTCACTTTCACATGTTGGTGTCACTCTACCTGGAGCACTCCTCACCTGTTGCTGGTTCAGCAGCCAGTGACCGTCGTGTTCTCTGTTCGTTACAGAAAAGTTCATTTCTGTGGAGCTGAGCTGCGGCGCCGGGCCTAGCCATGTAGTTCTGGAGCCAGGTTCGCCTCTCTTGCTGGACTGCAGCCTGGGTACCAGCAGCGCACCCTTCAATGTCACCTGGTTCAAGGATGGTCACCTGCTGGGCCTGGAGGAAAGTGAGTTCTTGCAGCATCTGGACAACGGATCTGTCGTCCTGCTGCCCACCCCCACGGAGAGCCGGCCTCCCCAGAGTGTGGAGGGGAGCTACAGCTGTGTCAGCGCCAGCGCCATCGGAGCGCTGACCAGCAGGACTGTGAATGTGCTGCTAGCAAGTAAGTGCTTGGCTCTCTTTAGCATAACCTGCTTCCTTTGTCAGCAAAGGTTCTGACTCAGTTCATGCTGAGTGAAAGCAGCCGACTCATCCAACTGTGACTGTAGGCCAGGTCAGCAGGAACCCCGTTTGAGCGTTGATCAACAAGTTATTCAGAAAGAGAAACACAAGTTATAGAAAACTTAAAGCTCGGATGTGTTTTCCTTCTTTAAAAGAAAGTCTTGCACCGTCTGCAGACTCGCGGCGTCTTGTGCTACACCACGGGACACGTTAAGACTACTGGCTCAAGTCCATCGATGCTCACATCAGTACCACGTTGTCAGAGTGGTACCAGTATGGCCCGTGAGTGAAAGTTAACCCCGCTCATTCTGATGAATGACTCGGCCATCAGCTGTTTTTCTACAGGTTTGCACCTCCATCAGCTGGACGTTACAGTTATTATGGCAGAAGTGTCTTGGATGCAGTGACAGAGCTACAGGTAGCTCCTGCTGGTGATTTTCACCTTTTTAATAATCCACAGATTCCCAGTAAACGGCTGGAACGTGGAAGTGGAGCTGGAGTGGATTCCTACTGTAGCCGTTTCAGTGGAGCAGCACACTTGTGGTGGTGTGGAGCTCATCAGCGCTCGGCTGGTGTTTTATTTTCAGAGGCTCTGAACTATGGGATAGTACTTATTCATCACTTCTGCAGAGAAACACGCTCAGATGGCCAAAATCTTCCTTTAGTAAAGAACGTTGAGCTAAGCAGTCGTCTGAAATGTCAACGGCAGTCTCTTGTCAGAGATTTAGGATGGATGGAGCTCACGTTTAACCCTCAAACATCCAGGATTGGTCTCTGAGGAGCTGTTGGACCACGTGACCAGAGCAGTGATTCGGTTCCTCGTCAGCTGAAGACAAACACATCCACATCTTCAGAGTTTTTACACATTTCTCAGGTGTACACCTTAATGGGCATCTGAGAAACAGATAAACATTTCTGTTGACACATTAAAAGGAAAAGAAGGTGGAAAACAGTAAATTCAGCAGGAAGATGGGCTGGCTGTGGGTCTGATTCACCTCTTTCTCTCACTCCTACGTTCCGTCTTTATTTGGTCATTAGCTTTGTGTACGCTCATCACTTTCCTCCACGAACGCCCCTTCTGTGGCCAGCTGTTGCGTGCTTATTTACTGTGTGAGGCTCTGCTGTCTGAGGGAGACTAGGTCCTGACGGGGGGAGAGGGAAGGGGTGATGGTAATTCTAGCAGAATCCTGAGCTAAGATGTGATCACTTTAAAAGAGCCCGAAGCCAAATAGCGTCGGCGTTGAGATCGAGTGGATGTGTCCACCTTGGCGCCATCTTCACAGTGTGGGAGACAGATGAGAGAAAACATCAGCAATCACACCTGCTCCACAGTCCCGATACTCCAGAGACAAAAACACGTCTCAAAGAAAACGAATAGAGAACGAAAGCTGCCAGACTCATCGTGTGCAGCTCGGAGAGAATCAGCAACAACATCTATACTAATAATAAAAGGTGTTTTTATGTTGATCTGACTCCGTTTAGATGAATATGAGACTTCCTGATTCACACAAGCTTTAACAAACCGTTCATATAAACACGGATTTGTAGCAGTAGCTGAATAGCATCTGAAGGTGAGTCACACCTGTACCCAACACGTCTCCACGATGAATGGTTTCTCCTCGCCCAGTAAAAGGCTTTAAGGGTCGGTGCTGGAGGACGCTGAGCCACACACCTTTTCCAGGAGCTGTCACTAATGGGAAGGTTTACCAGGTTTTCCTGATGAGCTCTCACAATCTCAGCCTTCTAGGGGTCACGGGCGGAGGCATCCGCCCACACAAGGGTCGCTGCAACCTGATAGCTGTGGGTTTGAAGCCCGGGGCGCAGAAACAGGGCTGAGGGACTCAAACAGACGTGAACGTGATGAGAGGAGGGCATGGAGACGGGAAGAAGGCAGCTTTAGTTACCAACAGCATGAAGAGACATCTTTAAACGTAAGTGCCCAAAAGTGATGCGTTTAGGTTCACAAAGAAAAAGCTTGTTGCTAGGAAACGCCAGACATCCTGCTTCACTCCCGTGTCTCGGAATGTGACCTTTAGCTCGGACGCCTCAGTGACTGAGAAAAGAGCCCCGTGTCACATTGTCCTCAGAACGGTGCCAGCTTCTGGGGGGCCGAGGGCGAGCTTCATGCTTCCGGTGGGGCTGGCTGTGGAGTTTCACCATGAGTCCTGGGCTCTGACGGAGCAGCGGAGGCCCAGCCAGCCACCAACGTCGTATCACAGCACGGCCAAAGGGCCTTCTCTGAACTCTACCCACATCCACCCAGCCCTGCCCTCCCCTTTCATTTACATTTGCTCCTGTGCTCCCTGGCTTATCAGCTGTCATTCACCCCAACGTTCATGCACCCGCAGACACAACACCTATATGGCAGTCAGTTCAACTGAATATGATTCTGTCCAATCAGCTGAGGGAAAAGAAGCTTCTTGTGTGTGCACGCCAAACTAGACACCCTCACACTCAACGTGTTTGGCATCCTGTCCGGCATTGGCACACGCCAAGCGTCACTCTGGGATTTAGGGCATCACGCTGTGTAACGTGTGGAAGCAGCGGGGTTAATCACTAACGGCGAAGCTGATGCTGCAGCCTTTCCTAAATGAACCAGATCCTCTCGGCTACTATCACCACTTATCACCACATGCATGTTTAGTCTGTGGAGCTATGCAGGAGCAGTGAGCAGGCCCTATCTGCACTTCAAACAGGAAGCTTGCTATCGCTGCATCAACCCAGTTGAATATAAGCAAATGGCATAAAAAAGAACGTCTTAAAGCCGTTACGGCGAATCGACGGAACAAGCTAGCTTTTCAACACAAACACGGTCTCAGAACATTCACCCCTCCCCTCGGGAATTACAAGATTAAAGTCAGTCATCCGCTGTCACACACACTGATGTGTTCTCTGCAGCTGACCCGTTCCCTGGGGGAGCGCTGAGCTGAGGACATGGCAGCGCTCGGGAACCATTTGGTGGTTTCACCCCCAATCAAGCAGGGAGGCACTGGGTCCCATTTTTTCAAGGTCTTTGGTATGATCCGACCGGGAATCGGACCCTGATCTCCCAGTCCGAGGGCGGACACTCTTTCACTAGGCCACTGAGCTGGTAGGCAGGGTATCGTCCCTGAGGTACTTTTGCTTGAACCAAAAACCAACGTTACCAGAGGAAACGAGATAGCTCCAAACACCGGTCACTGTTTTCTACGTCCAAACATCTTTTGTTGTCCGTGACTTCAGACGGTGATTTTCATTTTGGGACTCTGGTAGTTTGTCCTAAAACTGAACCGGTAGCAGCCGGCTGTTTCTCCTTCCTCTCACACCGGTGGTGTTCTGGTGAACACGTGAGTGTGTGATGAGTGGAGGACCCAGGGAAGTGCGGCGAGACGGACGACTGGATGGTCCAACGGCTGCTTTGGTCTGAAACGTGTTGTCGGTTGAGGTTTTTAGACAAATGTGAGGTTTTATTATAATATTTTATTGTTTATCTCCGTAATAAATGTATATTTATTCTAAGTTACTGCATCACTATGAGGCATGAAATAATGTTTTAGTCGTTTCGTCCTAAACCTGCAGATGTCACAGTTCGACAAAGTCTCAAGTCCAAACTTAGTGGTCCCACAACTACTGTCACATGTCGGCCTGCAGAGTCAGCCTAGCACGTCCAGGTTGCATAAATAAGATGTGAATGGGTTCTGTTAACATGGAGAAGGTACCGTTACAGAAACCTGCGCGTCTCATGGGCAAACACACGCATTCATTCGTTCAGATTCTTCACTGTCACGTCTTCTGCTGTCTAGCCTAGTTATGCCATTTATGAGGCAGCCCCCCCCCCCCCCCCAAAAGCATGCAAGGGTGAGAGGTCAGAGGCCCACTGACGGTGCTCGCTGCCGCCCTCTGCTGATCCTACCTGGGTGACTGCCAGCTATTCAGTAATTGAAGCTTTGCCAAGAACAGAGAGCATGAGCAAGTCTGCCTCCAGATGATGATGAAATGCTCTGGAGAAGGTTTTAGAAAACCCATAAAAGTGTGAATTTAGTATAAAAACTAAAACATTTACCTGCTAGTGTTGCAAGTTCCCTCATGCCAAAGACAGTGGCAAGAAACGGAGTCAACAGGTGGGCCACAGAGATAAGATTGGACCCACACTGAAACACACTGAACTTGCTTATGTGAGTAAAATCAGCCAGAAGACAGGGGCCCAACTGCACATCGAGCATCCAAGCTGGGACAAAAGAAGATCAACTGAAGATAAAGCATCTCAGAAGTGGTCAAACCCTTCATGAAGAATCCAAGGGATCAGAACTTGCTTCTGCGAGTAAAATTGGGCAAAAGGTCAAGAAGTGCCTGACCCAGCCATCAGCAGGAGAGGTGGAACCGAAGGAGGCAGACTGAAAAGAGCTCATCAGGAGACGACAGGCCTTCATGAAGAATCCTGGACTTCGGGAGAAGCTGAAGATCTGCTGCAAAGATGACACCAAATGACTTGTGTTGAGCTAAAAAGTATGAAACTGACTAATGACCCCATGATCTTGCTGTCATGTGATAATGATATATGTGTGACTGGAAAACTTTTACTTTGCCTAGGCTGTCCCAAGAAGAGTATAAAAAGAGCAGCTAGAATCAGAGCTGACACAAGAGTTGGGGCAGTCGACAGTGAGAGACAGAGCAGAGCTGGGATAGTAGAGGTCATCGACGACAAGTCAGTCGTTGGGGAGAGAAGGAGAGAGTCGTACCTAGAGTTAGAGAGTGACAGGTTAGTGTTGACGCAAGTCAACCATTTATTCTCAGGAAGATTTTAGCATTAGCATCCTCCACAGGGGATAGGTTAGTTTTATATTTACTTATTTTTTGTATTTTGCAATTTTTGAAATAAATTTTTGGAAAAAGAAACCTCATTCTTGATTTTTAAAGGCTTGAGTGGGAGCCCCGATCCAGAAACAATAGGAGAGGTAAGCATATTGTAATTACAGGTTCCTGAATTATCAGGACTTGCTTTACAGTTTGTGACAGATTAAGAAAAGAAACCTTAGGTGAAGAAGCTAGTCTTCTCCTCTCCCGTGAGTAACGAGATTAAGGACTGATAAGCCAAAACATTAGTAGGTTAAAATAGGCTCCGCCAGCGTGGGAAGGTTGGATTAATTAGATTAATTGATAAATCTATGTTAGTCTGATCAACTAACAAGAATCATTTTCTAGTTACCACCGCCCACAAAAGCTGACAGAGGCGCAAATTAATCCTAATATGACCCAAAGAATTGTCAGAAGAATGGCCTGCTTCTGAACGTTGCCCTAGTATTTAGAACCACTAAATAACGGGAGAAACTAAGAAGAAAGTGTGCTATCACAAAAGAACAAGTACGGCATATCATTCTCACCTTAAAATAGGAAACTGATTCTAATTAGGGGGTCCAAACCAGGGTCTAATACAATAAAACTCACCGACGCCCCACAAACCCTGAGAAAGCAGCGCAGTCTTAGGTTCTAACGGAACCAGGTTTTAAAGGAACCGACAAATGGGACACGCTCGCAACACTAGTAAATTGTGAATCTCTGAGAAGATTGCGCTTGTTTCTCCGCTTTGATCTGGAGGAAAATTAGCCGTGATGGATAACCGGGTTATGTTTTGGACCCGCAGGTCTGTCCAGGTTTCATCAGCAGCCATCATCACTAACAGTGCCGTCTGGGGGAGCTGCTCGCTTTCACTGCCGCATCGAAGGAGCGCCCACGCCCGTTATAACCTGGGAGAAGGACGGCGAGGCAATCCCCAACAACACAAGGCAACAGCTCTCTTTGTGTGTGTGGGTGTATGTGTGTGTGTGCATGTTTGTATGCGCGTGTGTGCGTGTGTGTGTGTGTGTGTGTGCGTGCATGTGTGTGTGTGTGTGTGACTTTGTGTGTATGCGCATGTGTGCATGTGTGTGCATGTGTGTGCGCGTGTGTGTGCATGTGTGTGTGTACGCGCGTGTGTGCATGTGTGTGTGCGCGCGTGCGTATGTGTGTGGTGTGGGTGCATGTGTGTGTGTGTGTGACTAGATGAATGATTCACTGTAAAGCTCTTTGGAGTTCTCTGACTCTGAAAGGTACTATATATATATACATATATATATATATATATATGTATATATATATATATATGAATATCAAATCAAATCACTTTTATTGTCGCGTCACATGTGCAGGTACACTGGTACAGTACATGCGAGTGAAATTCTTGTGTGCGAGCTTCACAGCAACAGTTGTAAAAATACAGTAACGTAAAAACATGTAAAATATAAAAATGGCTAATCTAAATATACAAATGAATAAAGTAAACAATAAGATAAGAGATATAAAATGTACAGTGGTTGGTATGTGCAGAGCAGTGGCATTAATGTACAGTATGGAGCGTGTAATGTTGGAGTTTCAGTAGTGAGGGTGAGGTGTCTGCGCCGTGTTCAGCAGTCTGATGGCCTGATGGAAAAAGCTGTCTCTCAGTCTGCTGGTTCTGGACCGGATGCTGCAGAACCTCCTTCCTGATGGAAGTAGTCTGAACAGTTTATGGCTGGGGTGACTTGAGTCCTTGATGATCTTCCCCGCTTTCCTCAGGCACCGCTTCCTGTAGATGTCTTGGAGGGAGGGAAGCTCACCTCCAATAATCCTTTCTGCACACCGCACTGCTCTCTGGAGAGCTTTGCGGTTGTAAGCGGTGCAGTTGCCATACCAGGTGGAGATGCATCCAGTGAGGATGCTCTCAATGGCACAGCGATAGAAGGTCCTGAGGATGCGGTGGCTCATGCCAAATCTTCTCAGTCTTCTGAGAAAGAAGAGGCGCTGCTGTGCCTTCTTCACTGTATTTTCCGTGTGCACTGACCACGTAGAAGCTGTTCCTACGCATGGTTGGAAGTTTGCTGAAATTTAGGAACAATTTCGTTCACAGGTACAAAATGATGAATACCACACAATGCGTAAATTAGTTCCTACTCATGATACATGCCTCTCCCTGGGCTGCCTCCTCACCGTGGGGGAGGGGGTTGAGTGTCTCAATGATCCTAGGAGCTAAGTTGTCTGAGGCTTTCTGCCTCTGGTAGGGTCACCCATGGCAAACAGGTCCTAGGTGAGGATCAGACAAAGAGCAGCCCGAAGACCTCTTATGATGAATTATATAAATGGAAACCGTGTTCCCTCGCCCAGACGTGGGTCATCGAGGCCCCCCTCTGGAGCCAGGCCTGGAGGTGGGGCACGTTGGCGAGCGCCTGGTGGCCAGGCTTTCACCCATGGAGCCCGACCGGGCACAGCCCGAAGAGGAAACGAGGGTCCCCCTTCCCATGGGCTCACCACTCGTGAGAGGGGCCAAAGGGGTCGGATGCAGTGTGTGACGGGTGGTAGTCGAGGGCGGGGACCTTAGCGGTCTGATCCTCGGCTACAGAAGCTGGCTTTTGGCACATGGAATGCCACCCCTCTGGTGGGGAAGGGTTAGGGTTCTGAGAGGTTCCGACTATATCTGAGAGCAGTTAACAGCTCTCGGATATAGTCAACGCACCTCAACGCATGGCTCTGGCTCTGGAACCAGTTTCCTTGAGAGGGGTTGGACTTTCTACCACTCTGGAGTTGCTCCCACTGAGAGGCGCCGAGCAGGGGTGGGCATACTAGTTGCCCCCATCTTGGTGTCTGTACGTTGGGGTTTACCCCGGTGAATGAGAGGGTAGCCTCCCTCCGCCTACGTGTGGGGGGACGGGTTCTGACTGTGGTCTGTGCTTATGCACCAAACTACAGTTCAGACTACCCACCCTTTTTGGAGACCTTGGAGGGGGTGCTGGAGAGCGCTCCTTCCGGTGACTCCCTCGTTCTGCTGGGGGACTTTAACACTCACGTGGGCAAGGACAGTGAGACCTGGAGAGGTGTGGTTGGGAGGAACTGAATTCGAGTGTTTTGTTATTGGACTTCTGTGCCAGTCATGGATTGTCCATAATGAACACCATGTTCAGACATAAAGGTGTCCACATGTGCTCTTGGCACCAGGATACCTTAGGCCGCAGCTCGATGATCGACTTTGTTGTTGTTTCATCTGACCTGCGGCCACATGTCTTGGACACTCGGGTGAAGAGAGGGGCGGAGCTGTCAGCTGACCACTACCTGGTGGTGAGTTGGCTCAGATGGTGGAGGAGGATGCCGGTCAGACCAGGCAGGTCCAAACGTATCGCGAGGGTCTGCTGGGAACGTCTGGCAGAGTCTCCTGTCAGAAGGAGCTTCAATTCCCACCTCCGACAGAACTTCCAAAATGTTCCGGGGAGGCGGGGGACATTGAGTCTGAATGGACCCTGTTCCGTGCCTCCATTGTTGAGGCAGCCAACCGGAGCTGTGGTCGCAGGATCGTCTGTGCCTGTCTTGGTGGCAACCCCCGAACCCGCTGGTGGACACCGGCGGTTAGGGATGCTGTCAAGCTGAAGAAAGAGTCCTATCAGGTCTTTTTGGCCTGTGGGACTCCAGAGGCAGCTGACGGGTACCGGCAGTCCAAGCGGAACGCGGCTCGGGTGGTCGTCAAGGCAAAAACCCGGGCATGGGAGGAGTTCGGTGAGACCATGGAGCAAGACTTCCGTACGGCTTCCAGGAGATTCTGGTCCACCATCCGGCGCCTCAGGGGGAAAGGAGTGTGCTACCAACACTATCTATAGCGGGGACCGTGTGCTGTTGACCTCTACTCAGGACGTTGTGGATCGGTGGGCAGAATACTTCGAAGACCTCCTCAATCCCACCGACATGTCTTCCAATGAGGAAGCAGTCTGGGGACTTTGGGTTGGCCTCTCAAATCTCTCGTGCTGAGATCACTGAGGTGGTTAAAAAGCTCCTCTGTGGTAAGGCTCCAGGGGTGGATGAGATCCGCCCGGAGTTCCTTAAGGCTCTGGATGTTGTGGGGCTGCGTTGGCTGACACGGTCTGCAATATTGCGTGGACATCGGGGAGCAGTCCCACTGGATTGGCAGACCGGGGTGGTGATGCGGGTGTTGTACCGGTCTGTCGTGGTGAAGAGAGAGCTGAGTCAGAAGGCGAAGCTCTCGATTTACCGGTGGATCTACGTCCCTACCCTCACCTACGGTCATGAGCTTTGGGTGGTGACTGAAAGAACGAGATTGCGGATACAAGCGGCCGAAATGAGTTTCCTCTGAAGAGTGGCTGGGCTCTCCCTTAGAGATAGGGTGAGTAGCTCATTCATCCGGGAGGGGCTCGGAGTAGACCCGCTCCTCCTCCACATTGAGAGGTGCCAGTTGAGGTGGCTTGGGCATCTGGTCAGGTTGCCTCCTGGATGCCTCCCTGGTGAGGTTTTCCGGGCACGTCCAACCGGGAGGAGACCTAAAGGTAGACCCAGGACACGGTGGAGGGACTATGTCTCTCACTTGGCCAGGGAATGCCTTGGGATTCCCCCGGAGGAGCTGGCCCAAGTGGCTGGGGAGAGGGAAGTCTGGGCCTCTCGCCTTAGGCTACTGCCTCCGCGACCCGACTTCGGATAAGCGGATGAAAATGGATGGATGGACGGGCGGACGGACACGCGCACAGATCTGTCCGTGAGTTCGGTCGATACAAACTAGAAAATAAATTACATGCAAAACCATCTTTGACCAGAATACAACCACGTCTCGAAATCTTTGTACTGCAGCCTTGCTTTGAGTGATGCAGCCAGTGATGCCTGGTGGTTGAACATGTTTTATTCCTGAATAAGAACGTTGTGAAGTTACCTGAGCAGGACCCTAGAGGAGCCAGTCCGTGGGATGCTCTGTGATCCAGAGCACTAAACCATTTCTTCTGTTGTCTTTCTCCATCTGGTTCTCCCTCCTCTCCCGTGTGACAGATTCATCTCCCTTCCTAACGGGGTCCTCCAGATCCTGGAGGTGACCAAGGAGGATGAAGGCTTCTACCGCTGTGCTGCATCCAACTCTGCCAGGAAGGACTTCAGTGATGAAGCCAGACTCAATGTCACCACAGGTGAGGATGAGGTCTCGTGGGTTTAATAGAGAGAGAATTGGTATGTGCCCGCACGCACAGCAGTAGCTCAGGAGGTAGAGCGGGTTATTGTAGCTACATCATAGCTCATCCTCACCAGCATGTGGATGTGTGTGTGAGTGGGTGAATGAAGAACTGTTTTATGATGTGCCTTGGGGGGTTGTAGAACAGTAAGACACACACACACACACACACCCACACGTGTGTTTCAGCCTAATGGCGGAGAGATTTTTAATGTGTCCCTGAAATAAAACATTGATCTGACGTCTGTCAGGTTTGTTTCAGTGGCAGCAAGATTCAGGACAGTCTTGGAGAAGAGCAGGCATGTTTGTTAGTTTCAGTCTGAACTTTACGTTGTATGAGGATGAAGCCACGATGCAAATGCCCCCCCAAAAAAAAGAAAAGAAAGAAACTTCTTGACAGGTAAAAGTTTTTGTTCGTGGGTACATTTATTGTCCTGATGATGCCTGACACATCATTTCTAATTAAAAGTCTTTTATTTTGTAAACTGGCACCTTTAGTCTCATTTTATGTAAAAAGCCTGTTTTTGCGTTTACATCGCTCGTCCTTCAATCGGCAGCATGTGGACAAGAACCTGACGATAGTCATAAGGCCACGAGCTTTATTCTCAATAAAGGTAAATATCAAACGTTTGCTGATTAAACACCAGTCACACTAACCTCTGCTTTAGATTCCTGAGTCACTGCGCTTCTGGGAAATCTTGACACGGCGAGAGAGCTAAATGAAAACAGAATGACTCGATCCATTTCAGAGTGACACCGAGGCTCCATGTTTTCAGACCGAAGCGTCTCTCCAGCCGCACAACCAGAAGGAAACTTGTTTCTGCGTCCTTCCTCTGGCGTTCGGCTGCTCGGTGATTATTTCACTGGAACATTCGTACATATTTAAGTTTACTGTTTGTGTGAAAAGCTTTAACGGGGCAACCCCAACAACCTGAAACATAAACTTGAAATATAAACTCAATATTTGATTCACCCTTTGAAAGAAAACAGGTTTTCTAGAAACTTTTCTGTATCTCAGCTCGCTGTTAAAGCTGCATTCCTTAATTTGGAAAACAAATTAGCTGAAAACGTTTTTTTTTTCATGCCTCTTAGCAACGTGCTAACATAGCATAGCTATAAATATATTGTGGAGATTCAAACAAACCCCCTAAAAAACGATTAAGCGGTTCTCTCACATTTGTCTGAAAGCCTCAGCTAATCGTTGCTGAAAGCAACGAGAACGTTCGTCGGTCTGGCCGAACTGCAGCATTTCCGCACTTCCCCATGACCTACATTTTTGTGCACGCACTCATTTTTCAGCAGAACACACACAACCGGAAGTGCGACGCTCAGCCGAACCGGAAATGAAATGTTCAGAAGTTCAGAAGAAGAAACAGCCGGCAGCTGCTAACATTCCCAAAAGGAAACATCACATTTTGACTTCAACCAACCAGGGTGAACAATGGCATCGAGTCTTAACAATGGCGGCAGTCACGCGGCCTGAAAATCGATGCTATGCTAAGGTTTGTATTTTTCTTTTGGCCAAATTATTCCTGCTCCGTGTCACAACGTCTTTGTTTTATTGTTTGTTAGAAAGATTGAACTGGATTATTGCGTTGTTTCATACGTGTGCACGTCACCTTCCCGTGTTAGCACTAATAGCATGCTATGCTAATGCTACCTAAACAGAAATGAATGTGAAATGTGACGCTATTAAAAAATAACCGGTGACAAACAGATCAGAACCAACTTAGTCATTCAAGTACTTTCCCTGTTAAAATCTTCACTTTTGTGTTTAGTAACAAACATTCAGCATCTTCTACTCACTCCTTCATAGCATGAGTAAAACAACATGACTGATCTGAGTGTAAATTTATGTCTAACACGTTTTATAGAAAGAGTGTGCTTTTATGTCCAGCCGAGTCCTTATTTGTGCCAAGATGCTGCATGTGAGAACATAAATGTCTGCAGATTTCTCCAATTCTACTTATTTAAATGCAATTGCAGTAAAACAGTGACTGCAAATCTCTGCTGCATAGTTTATATAATTATTTTATCATTCCTTCATCCATCCACAGGTGTTCAGCAGAAGAAGGAACCACTTACATCACGTTACAATGTAAAGGAGCAAGAGGAGGAAATGTCTGAGAATGGGAAGGAATGCTGGGGGGGCCGAGACCCTCCAGGGTGCCAGGTCCCACACTTGCCCCAATAGGCACCCCGTTCCCAAAATCCAGTGAACAGAACACCTCAACACCCACAGCGACATACATGGTGATGTTTATTTGATGTGGACACAGCAATTACATCAGACAGTGTGTTAGCACAAGTGCTAACTTGCAACACTTGTCCAAAGGCACCTTTTGTAAAAAGTAGAACACATTTAAATAAGATACAAACAAATCAAAGAAATCAAAGAAAAACAGACTAAATTACAATTTCCAACATAAAAAAATAAATGGCAATTTAAGCAGCAGATTAAACGAGTTTAAAACTATTCGTGTGAACATCGTTGTTTTGGCTTTAGCCTTTTTTTGAGTCCTTTGTTAAAAACTTTACTGTCATTTTCTAGTTTTAGCTCAGTGGGTAGAGAGTTCCAGTTTGGCCCTTTACAGAAAGAACAGCCTGGCCAAAAGAAGTCTTGCACCAAGGGATGGGACAATCACCACATGTGGTAATTCAGTTTAATGCCAAAGTCACAGAAAATCTACTTCAGTCCTACAGCTTTGATGTTTTTATGGTTCATCACAGTGACACCCATCATATCAATCACTTTAAAGGCCCGCTTTAATCTGCAGGTCCTGCAAAAGCCAGACTGACCTACTAGGAGTCAGATAAGTAACTGAGGTTTACTGCGTGTAATCTCAGTCATTCATTTATAATGTGTTTACGGAACGCCGGGCCACTTTGCAGAGATCAATGGCAGGAGAGGTTGCGTGCACTCTTGCGTACAGATATGCACTTAGGAAATGAGCACTCCTTCAATCTGTAAAAATGTGCTTTGAATAAAATCCACAGTCACTGCAGCCCTCAGTCCAGTAACTGAAGCTATTCTGCAGGTTGACACATTGGGTTCGTTTTCAGCTCCTTCAACAGAATTATGTTGACTTTTCTTCTCCATCTCAGCCTTGTGGCTACAGTCTTTGTGCCGTCGTGTGTCTAAAACAAATCACCAGTTTCTTGGTGACAGTTCATTCCTGATTTTGCACGCTATATTTGTAGTTTGCTGCTGAAGGATCTTTTCAGGGATGCATCAGTAGCTGTGAATAATATTTCATCTTCATCTACAAATGTCTCAAAATAGAGGATTTGTTACGTTTTCCTACAGTTTCAAGTATGTGATCAAGCTGTTACTTAATACTAAAAAGCCAAATTTAGGGACACATTCATTAACAAATAAAGCCACTGGCAGATTTTTAAACACATATTTAGAAGCCATTCATGTGCATATTCAAAACAGGCAAAGCACTGATTTTGAATTGCATGGCGATTATATTTAGGTACTTTGAGATCTCTACCTGGAACCGTACGTGCTGGTAGGCAGCCATAATCCAAGTCTTCATTTGCATAAATACACTGCTCACAAAAAGTAAAGAAACACTTTAGATACATCAGATCTCAATATGAAGTTGGATATGTATACAAATAACGGCAGGGCAATGTCTTAGGAACAAAAGGATGCCGAGTCTTTTAATGGAAATAAAAGTTATCAGCCTGCAGAGGGCTCAATTCTGTAGACACCCTAAAATCGGAGTGAAATGAAGACGTGGCAGGCTAGTCCATTATTTCAAAAACTTAATTTCTGCAACTCAGATTGCTTTTGAGTATCTTGTGTGGCGCCCATGAGCTTGTGTGCATGCTTGACAACATCGGGGACTGCTCCTAATGAGACAAAGGTTCCTGAGCCTTTAGATGGTCTCTCAGTCTCGTTAAATGACTGAAATAAATGTAGTTTTGCACAGTATTCTAATGTTTCCAGCTTGACTTTGTGTGTTTTAGTAGCATTTCTGTTGCTGCTAATCTAGTAAAGGTTAAATAAATAAATAAAATCCTTTAAAATGACACTAGAAGAGGCACAAGCCTGATGGAGGACTTACATTTACTAACGTGGGTCAGACCCAACCACAGAAGAGCTGAAGCTGGGTGGTAAACACACACAGGTAGTTCTGATAACACCTGAGCTCCATGACGTCTGAGACGGATGCATCAGTGTTACAGCGGGGCTAAAGACATGATCAGAAACAGGTTACAGCTGGATGATCTAGGAAGGTAGAAGATCAGGACGTCTGAGCGGTGAACAGGTGAGCGGACCTTCGGGACGTCCCGCTGTCACGCTAAGAAGGACACGGCTGCAGATTCAGGCAGAAATAATTAGATTACTTGTAACTGAAAAAGCTGTTTTATTTATTTTATATTTTTTATTAATGTCACTATTTTAAACTGCATTATTCCCATCACTGCCAAGGACACAATGACAGAATTCTCTGTCCGGAGCCAGGATCGAACATGCAACCTTCCGTCTACTGGACAACCTGATCTACCCCCTGAGCTACTGCTGCCCTAATGTCATTAAAGGACCACTATGCAAACAGTGAGAACACAGGGTTACCAACCTGCTCCTCTACCTCTATCTATGGGTGTTCCTCACAGGTCGATGCTGGGCCCAGCCTTATTCAGAATATTAATAACATCGTTCATGCTGTTGACAGTTCTCATATGCAGTTATATGCAGACGACGCCATTTTATATTCATGCAGTTCTTCCTTGAACACAGCTTTGTACTCCTTGCAGCACAACTTTAATCATCTTCAACATGCCTTCTCCAACCTTCATCTTCATTTAAACACAGGTAAAACAAAGTTCATGATCTTCAACCATAACTTACCACCCTAGTGTTGTTTCCCTGGATGGAACAGAGCTACAGCTCGTCAGTTGCTATAAGTATCTGGGTATCTGGCTTGGCAGCACACTTTCATCTGACATTCACATGAATTCATTACTTTCTAAAGTCAGTCTAGAATTGGGTTTCTATAGCAACAGGTCATCCTTACTCGTTCTGCAACGCAAACCTTGGTCAACATGGCGATCCTTCCATCTTAGATTATGGTGACATCATTTATAGGACTGCTTCTAAAAACTTCTTCATAAACCCGATTATTTATCACTCAGCACCCCGTTTGGTCACTGGTGCCCCTTTCACTACTCATCATTGTGATCTGTACTCACTCGTTAACTGGCCATCCCTCCATTCCTGCAGGATGTTACATCGGTACCAGTTCATATACAAAACCATCATCGGTAGAACCGTCATATCTTCTCTCATTACTCATCACTTCCAACAACCAGCACCGTTTACCTTCCAGTAACTTCATCTCTGGTTATTCCCAACGCTCGCACCTCCTTTGGCTGCTCCTCATTCCAGTTTGCTGCTTCCAGTGACTGGAATGAGCTGCAGAAACCACTGAAGCTCACTGCCTACGTTCCATTATCTACCTTCAATAATTCATGGTGATCAATAGTTTCTGATCAGTGTTCCTGCTTCTGAGTATTAAAGACTGTCTTAGTCTGTTCTGACTGCTCGTACGTGTTATATATGAGAACAGTCCTTTGTCTTTATGGCTAACTGTTATTTTGTCTTGTATGTTTTTATCCCATCTGTTGTTCTTTGGTGTAAAGCTAACTGTGTGCTGCTGCCTCTTGGCCAGATCGGCGTTGTAAATGAGTGAGTTCTCAGCCCACAAATCAGGTTTAATAAATAAAAGAGCTTCCCTGTTGTGCTTACAGGCACCACGCATGCATTGAACCCAGTAGTCATTGTTGCACCGCCTCAGAACACCACAGTCCTGCTTGGTCACCTCGCTGTGATGGAGTGTATGGCACAAGGTCACCCAAAACCTCTAGTGTCCTGGAGCAGACAAGGTGAGCCTCATCAAGAGTCACCTTTTCCTCTTCACATTCCTTCCACTCTGAATTCTTCTGTTACCGTGTGCCTTTATCAGCCACCCTGACACACATGAACCTACGTCTGTCTTGATTTTAGAGATGAAGCTAAAACTCCCTCATCTTGCTGTGGCTGCTGCAGTCTTGTGCTGCATCTGAAATGTCTCCCTCCTTTACATTTTCTCTAGATGAAATTGTTTGTTGTCGGGCCACAGGCAACATTTTTCATTTGCATGTTTAGTCACTAATGTAGACAATGTAAAAGCTGTGATGGATCAACTAACCCTGAGAACAGAGACTGTCCATTAATGGCCAGCAATATTCCTCAGAGTTAGAGTGGATGAGCCTAATGTTCCAGTGAAAAGCCGTAGAGCCACCTGTTGGTCAGCCCGTGAGACTACACGTGAATCCCACTCTCTTTATTCTGTTGATCAGGTTTTAGAAACAGAGACCTGATCTGAGCTCGTGTCTACTGCTGTAGCATCCATAACCCTTCTCATACCTGCACCTTCATTTCCCCCTCCATCAGATGGAAAACCCATTTCCACCGATGTGATGGTCCTGGCAACAAACTTGGTGATCAGGGACACTCGGCGCCACCATGGTGGTGTCTACGTCTGCAGAGCTAACAAACCCAGGACCAGAGAGTTTGTCTTTGCTGCTGCGGAGCTCCATGTTCCGGGTAAGAGTCGCCTTGTGTTGTGTGGATGATGACATCACAGCATCTAGAGCAGTGTTATGAGGGAAGACTCATTATGGTGCCTTTGAAGGTCTAAGATAATGGAAAGATGGATGGATGGATGGATGGATGGATGGACGGACGGACGGACGGACGGATGGATGGATAGTTGGGTGGATGGATGGATGGATGGATGATGAATGGATGGATGTATGAATGGATAGTTGGATGGATGGATGGATGGATGGATGGATGAATGGATAGTTGGATGGATGGATAGTTGGATGGATGGATGGATGGATGGATGGATGGATGGATGGATGAATGGATAGTTGGATGGATGGATAGTTGGATGGATGGATGGATAGTTGGATTGATGAATGGATAGTTGGATGGATGGATGGATGGATGGATGAATGGATAGTTGGATGGATGGATGGATGAATGGATAGTTGGATGGATGGATAGTTGGATGGATGGATGGATAGTTGGATTGATGAATGGATAGTTGGATGGATGGATGGATGGATGGATGAATGGATAGTTGGATGGATGGATAGTTGGATGGATGGATGGATAGTTGGATTGATGAATGGATAGTTGGATGGATGGATGGATGGATGGATGGATGAATGGATAGTTGGATGGATGGATGGATGGATGGATGGATAGTTGGATGGATGGATGGATGGATGGATGGATGGATTAACAGCAGCAGCGTTGGAGTTGGTGCATGTGGCAGGGTGGACGCTGTGCACTAACAGTAGGCGTGGGGTAACGTTTTGCCTTCTTGCACCACTAGCCCCTCCAGTGATTGTTCAGCCCCCAGAGGCCATGTCACTCTCCAGAGGCAACACGGCACGGTTCCTGTGTAACAGTTCTGGAGAGCCTCTGCCCCTGCTGCACTGGCTGAAGAACGGTCAGCCCGTCAAGCCTTTCAGACGGTTGAAGATGCAAAGTCCTGGAGTCCTGCTCATCAATCAGCTGGCTCTGGAGGATGCAGGCTACTATCAGTGCATAGCTGACAACGGGCTCGGTACAGCCTGTGCCACTGCCAAGCTGACGGTCATCGTGCGAGAGGGCCTGCCCAGCCGTCCTCGGCACCTGTCTGCTACCCCGTACTCCAGCACCACTGCCCTGCTCGCCTGGGAGAAACCCGAGTATAACTCCGACCAAGTCATTGCCTATTCTGTGCACTGCCAACACCTTTCAGGTGGGTGTCCTTCAACAGGGCCAGGAATGAGCAGCTTCACCTGTAAATGAATGCATTAATTACCCATGCTTCCTTAGGCAATGACAACGTGGAGGATCGCTTTGCGATGAACAACGACACCACAAAGTATCTTGTCAAGGAGCTTTTTCCTCACACTGCCTACACTTTCTTTGTGGTGGCTTATTCTCCCATGGGAGCCAGTCCCCCATCACTGCCTGTCACTGTGGAGATGCTGGAGGATGGTGAGTGGATCAACTATTCCACAAACACGACACGACTGCACACAACAATCAGCCATGACAGCTGGAAATAAGGCAGGGCAGGGCTGGAGCTCCTGAGGACTCAGGGCTTATGAATGATCGGTGTCAGCAGATAGGAAGTCACTCTCTGAAGAGCCAGTTAAGCTTTTGCCGGAAGGCAAACCCCCACAAATCCAACTGAATCTTTATTTTTCTAATTTTGAGTCCGCTTCGGGCCGTTTGCTCATCGTTGTGCTCTGCTGCTCAGAAACTCTGGAGGTTTTTGTGTTCCCACAGTGCCAAGTGCCCCTCCTCAGCTGTCTGTGGCGAGCACGTCCCCCACCGACATCAGGCTGACGTGGCATCCGCCGTCCTCGCAGCAAAGCCGAGGAGCCCTGACCCGCTACCGCGTTGATTATGGTGCTCTGGATCAAAGTAAGTAACGTGCACCGGCCCAAAGCCTGAACCTGGTTAGGAACACTTGGTGTACTTTACATCTGTGGCAGATCTTAGTTTTCAGTCAGATAGCTTGTCTTGGTGTAATTGACCACTTGATAGATGATTTAGGAGAAAAACATAACCTTTAAGCTCCGCTTCTGCAGCATCGGCACCTAGCTAACAAGTGTGTCAGTTTATGTTGATTTAGCTGTGATTTTGATGGCAGGTGCTGTGGTCTCAGTGGAGGTTAGAGGGAATGAGACCAGCTTCACCCTGAGAGGGCTGCAGCCGAACCAGATGTACCGTCTGAGGATAGCAGCAGGAACCGGCGTCGGCTTCGGCATTCCCTCTGAGTGGGTTCAGCACCAAACTTTAGCCCGCTACAACGACAGCGACCGCAGCATGGGTAAGACTTGTGAATTACTCTAGGCCTTTTGTTAGAAAGAAAGAAAGAAAGAAAGAAAGAAAGAAAGAAAGAAAGAAAGAAAGAAAGATATATAACAAGATAAAATCACAAGGCGGCTCACTAAAACAAAAGTGTAAAAAAGAAAAAAAAAGATTTAAAATATGTTTAAAATGAGAAAAATTTAAAATTGTGATTAAAAATGTAAGCAAAGGGAGAGAGAAAATGCACAGGAGAGAGGGAAATCAGTGGATCCTGAGGAGTGCAGAACAAGGAGAAGGTCAGTCAAAAGTCAGCCTGAACAAGTGAGTTTAAAGGAGACCACTGAGTCCACTGATCTCAGGCTCAGGGGGAGAGAGGTCCAGAGTCTGGGGGCCACAGCAGCAGATGATCTGTCACCTTTGACCTTTAGCCTGGTGCTGCACAACCAGTAGGCTTTGATCACTGGACCTCAGGGACCTGCTGGGGGTGTAGGGACTAAGAAGATCACCAATGTAAGATGGTGCTTGTCCATGTAAGGCCCTATAGACCAGAACCAGGATCTTGAAATGAACCCTGAAGGTGACTGGCAGCCAGTGAAGCTGGAGGAGAAGCGGGGTGATGTGGGTGTGTTTGGAGGACTTGGTCAGAAGCCGAGCACAGGCGTTCTGAACCACCTGTAGACGGTTCAGGGAGGTTCTGCTCAGACACGTGAAAAGAGAGTTACAGTAGTCTAAGCGTGAGGAGATGAAGGTGTGGAGAACTGTCTCAAGTTCAGAGCGGGACAGAATGGGACTCAGCTTAGCAACGTTCCTGAGATGGAAGAAGGAAGAGCCAACAAGAGAACTGACATGAGAATCCAGGGTGAGAGCTGGGTCAAAGGTCACACCAAGATTCCTGACAGAAGGTTTGGTGTGGGAAGCAAGCTGACCAAGAGAGTCTCTGACTTTGGGAACCAGCTTGTCTGGGGCACAGATGAGGATCTCAGTCTGATCTTCATTCAGCTGAAGAAAGCTCCCACCATCCAGGTTCTGATAGAGTCTAAGCAGGTGTGTAACAGCTGCAGCTTAGACATCTCATGGGGCTTAAAGGAGATGTACAGTTGGATGTCATCCACGTTAGGGTTTTGAGCTAAGAGCTATTTTTGTGTTTAAGGATGTTTCGTTAGAGTTTTGATCTCTTGGTCAGTCTTTCAGTGCTCTGTGGTGGAGAGCCGTGGGCCTGGTAACCAGTTGAACTCAGCTGTTGGTGTTTAGTGGTTTTTGAGTCGTTAGTTAAACCAGATAGTTTCCAGTTTCCTCCCGTTTGACAACAGGGCGGCCTCTCAGTGGCTCATTCAGCAAAAACTCCTGTAGATAGTTTTTGTACATTAAACATGCGAACCATCTTTAGACTCCCACTTTATACAGTTCCCTCACCCTCCTAGACCTCCAGAGGGAAGGAACATCTCCTTATATCTGAAAAGACATTTGACCTGTTTGGGTTGCCGGGTCTGGCTCGGGGGAAATGCAGAAACAAGACTTTTGCTGACTTTAGCGTGTTGTTTGGAGCGTGAGGATCCGAACGTTTGGATAGATGATGCTGTGTCAGCTGAAGTCCTGCTGCCTTCTGAAACGGAACAGAAGTCCATGTCCATGTGGTTTGATCACCAGGTTTCTTCCTGTCAGAGTTCTGATTCACATCTCTGGACCGTTAGTGGAAATCTGATGAGGAACAGATTACGTGTGCTGTGAGTTAGACCTGAAAGCAGAGGTGCAGGCATGTAAGCCCGTCTGTTGCTGACAGCTTTGTGAAGGTCTTCAGTTTGTTGTTCTGACAGGAGTAACAGGCTGGGAGCCACCATCAGGCCACCTTCTCAGAGCAGCTTTTCATCATTACTACATTACAGTAAACTTCACTTTTTATGGATATTCTTGAAGAACCTTGGACATTCCAACCAGACGTGCCATGCAGCTCATTCCCCCGCAAATGACCAGTTGGTGTGGAGCTCATGGAGAACTTCTTCAAGGCGTCTAACACCTGACAGCCATGTTTTAATGAGTGTGTCCGATTACGATGGTTCAGCCTGAGTGTTCAGGCAGGCAGGCTGAACATGAAAATAGTCTCCTACACCTATCTCCTGCAGTAGCTTCTGATAGAAACAGACGGTGAGACTCTAGGATTGGAAAAGCCTGACAGATCTACGTCACCCTCTTGTGTTAAGCCCTCTCCTCACGTGGATCAGCTCTAGTTCCTGAAGCAGGCACATTGAGCCACAGCTGTGAGGGAAACCAAACAGAACCTGGAAATGACCCAAACAGCTTCACAATCCTTCGCTTTGGAGTTTACTCATAATATTAATAGCAGGACAGAATAAACAGAACCAAGCTGCCACTGAGCTGTTGGTGTAAAACCCAAAGGTGCTGCGCTGGAGTCATGTCCATAACTGTTGTACGACGCTGTTGATGAATCCGATTGAAACCATTCTCACCGGTCGTCCTACATTCAGACCACAGAAACGGACCAGACCATCTCAAGTGCACGTCTGGGTGTTTGTGTTGATTCTAAGTTTGTTTTTGCTTCTTTCAGTGATTTTTGCTCCAACGGAGCTGAAGGTCAGACCCAGAGAGAATATGATCAATGTGACGTGGCAGCCATCACCAAATCATGCCCTGATTTCTGGCTACAAGCTGTCCTACCAAGAGGCAGAGGCCGACGAGTCCTTTGATGGAAAAAGGTCCCAGTATGCCCACACCATCAGGCTACGGAAGAAGGCTAGGCATCATTTGCTCACCGGTCTGGGTAAGCTGGCTTCATCTGACAATCTGCCACTATTTTATTTTTATCTGCAGTCCTGCCGGGGGTTTAATGCTTTTTAACTGGTGTCTTTGGCTAATTCATCCATCTAATTCATCCTTCCATCCATTCTGTTCACTTAAGAAATATCTCCAAACTGTGAATGTTGGTGTCAAAACATGAGTCAGTCTCTCTGGGTGGAGCAGGCGCTAAAGAAGGCTAAATGTATTTTGGGTCAGCCTCTCCGTGCGCTACACTCGTGCCCTCAGGGCGTCGTTTTTATGAACCTACTCGGAAAACAAATCAGTTCCTGATTTGTTTTCCGAGTAGGAGCCCGTTGTGAGGGCGACTCGTCTCTAGGGCTTTATGTTTAATGTAATGTTGGTAGGGACCCATTAATTGATTGATTGATTGATTGATTGATTGGTTTTATATATTTTTATGGTTTTATGGTTTTTATGGTATGCTACAAGTAAATTGCCATTTGGGACCAATAAAGTTTTCTGAATCTGAATCTCTACATGGTCAAGCTCCTCCTTATATTACTGACCTGTTAAAGCCTTATGCTCCAACCTGAGCCCTCAGGTCCACCCACCAGAACCTTCTAGAAGATCCAAAGTCCAGGTGATCTCTCCTTCCAGACTGTTGCACCCCGACTCTGGAATGATCTTCCTTTATCCTTACGCAGCCTGGACAGTCTGGACACTTTTAAAAAACAGCTGAAGACCTTTTATTTAAAGCTGCTTTCACCTAAATCTTTAATTTTTTTATTTTTAATTCAAATGTTTAATCTTTCATCTGTTTATGAAATTTTATAATTTTATGATATTTTTCTGTTAATCTATTTCTGTTTTGAGATCATTATGGTTTTATGACTTTCTTTTCTTTTCTTCTGATCTACTGTATGTGAAGCACTTTGTGATTCGACGTCTGTGTGCTGTAGAAATAAAATGTACTTGCTGCGTACTCGCTTACGTAAAAGTTTCCTACAGCAGAAAAACCAGCAGATTCCAGTAACTTACTCGCAGCCTTCACTCTGGATGCAGTTTTTCTTTTCAGACAAAATATTGTAATAATTCTGATTTAAAAAATAAACATTGGTAGAAAATGTAATAACAAATGAGACGGTTAGATTACAGAGGAACAGATTTGGAAGAGGTCTTCGTTGTTTCAGCTCCTGACCGACAGTATGAGGTGAGAGTTTGGGCATTCAACAAGCAGGTGGACGGGGCAGCTGCCGTGTGGAAGGGAAGGACGGACAAGGCTACTAAATGTGAGACTCCTTTTGCAGTACATGGCATGAGCAGCTTCTCAATGTCTGGATGTTGACCAGGATGTTAAATTAATGTCGTGCTAACTCGTGTTCCAGTGCCTCCAACAGTCGGTCACCCTCCTCCGATCCCCCCGAGCACCATCCAAGCCACATCCAACAGCTCCACATCCATCTGGCTCCGCTGGGAGAAACCGCGGTTCAGCAACATACGCATCATCAACTACACGGTGCGCTGCAGCCCGTCGGGAACCACCAACGCATCCCTTGTCACCTATCACACCAGGTAAGATGGTTAGAATTTGATGATATTTGTGATTTCGATCCTCTGACTTGGGTGGAAAACGCTGGCGGATCTCTTCACAACTCCTCTTGGGTCTGTTTAAACACAAAGGTTCTCTGATATAAATGATGGAGGTAGAGTCATTTCACCCTGTTCTAGAGATTATGCTCTGTTAGGAAGTCTGATCATATGTGTCTTCACTGATGTTGATGTGTTCTGGCAGCCATCTTGGATTGTACTCATTATAAAATGTAACTGGCTATAGAAACAATGATCCATCCATCCATTTTCGGCCGGTTATCTGAGGCTGGGTCGTGGGGGCAGTAGCCTAAGCAGGAAGGCCCAGACTTCCCTCTCTCCAGCCACTTGGACCAGCTCCTCCAGGGTAATCCTAAGACATTCCCTGGCCAGCCATGAGACCTAGTCCCTCCAGCATGTCCTGGGTCTTCCTTTAGACCATCTCCTGGTTGGACATGCCTGGAAAACTTCACCAGGGAGGCATCCTAACTAGATACCCGAGCCACCTCAACTGGCTCCTCACGATGTGGAGGAGCAGCGGGTCTACTCCGAGCCCCTCCCGGACGACTGAGCTTCTCATTCTATCTCTATGGGAGAGCCCAGCCACTCTGTGGAGAAAACTCATTTCAGCCGCTTGTGATCTCGTTCTTACGGTCGCTACCCAAAGCTCATGACCATAGGTGAGGGTAGGAACGTAGATCCACCGGTAGCCTTCTGACTCAGCTCTCTCTTCACCACGACAGACCGGTACAACGCCCGCATCACTGCAGATGCAGCACCAATCCGCCTATCGATCCCACGCTCCATCTTTCCCTCACTCGTGAACAAGACCCCGAGATACTTAGACTCCTCCACTTGGGGCAGGACCTCATCCCTGACCCGGAGAAGGCTTTCTACCCTTTTCTGACTCGGATTTAGAGGAGCTGATTCTTATCTCAGCTGGGAGGTGGGAATTAAATTTTCTTCTGACAAGAGACTCCGCCAGACGTTCCCAGCAGACCCTCACAGTACATTCAGCCCTGCTAGGTTTGAGCGGTGTCCTCCCCCACCATCAAAACCAACTGGTCAGTTGGCAGCTGTTCCCCTCTCTTCACCTGAGTGTCCAAGACACAGATGACAACAAAGTCGATCATCGAGCTGCGGCCTAAGGTATCCTGGTGCCAAGAGCACATATGGACACCTTTATGTCTGAACAGGATGTTCATTATGGACACTCCATGACTGGCACAGAAGTCCAATAACAAAGCAGGTTCTGGAGAGGAGGGTCTGTCGGATTGTTGAACCTCAGATTCAGGAGGAGCAATGTGGTTTTGGTCCTGGCCGTGGAACACTGGACCAGCTCTATACCCTTAGGGGATCCTGGAGGGTGCGTGGGAATTTGCCCAACCCGTCTACATGTGTTTCGTGGATTTGGAGAAGGCGTTTGACCGCGACCCTCGGGGGGCCCTGTGGGGGGTACTCCGGGAGTATGTGTCATCAGACCCTTTGATACGGGCTTTTTGGATTTCTGTATGACCGGTGTTGGAGCTTGGTCCGTATTGCAACCACTGCGAGTGAGTTGAGCTTGAGAGTTGAGCTTGAGAGTTGAGTTGAGAGTTGGACTCTGCCAAGGCATTTTGTCACCGATTCTGTTCATAACCTTTATGGACAGGATTTCTAGGTGCAGCCAAGGGAGGGCATCCGTTTTGGTGGCCTGAGGATCAGGTCTCTGCTTTTTGCAGATGATGTGGTCCTGTTGGCTTCATCAGAACGTGATCTTCAGCTTTCGCTGGAGCGGTTCACAGCCGAGTGTGAAGCAGCTGGGATGAGAATCAGCTCCTCTAAATCTGAGACCATGGTCTTGATTCAGAAAAGGGTAGAATGCCTTCTCCGGGTCAGGGATGAGGTCCTGCCCCAAGTGGAGGAGTTTAAGTATCTCGGGGTCTTGTTCACGAGTGAGGGAAAGCTGGAGCGTGAGATCGATAGGTGGATTGGTGCTGCATCTGCAGTGATGCGGGTGTTGTACTGTTCTGAGCCGGTAGGCAAAACTCTCAAGTTTCTGGTTGATCTGTGTTCCAGCCGTCACTGATGGTCTTGAGCTTTGGGTAGTGACCGAAGGAACGAGATCGCGAGTACAAGCAAAAGGAGTTTTCTCTGCAGGGTCGCTGGACTCTCCCTTATAGATAGGGTAAAATGCGCATTCATCCAGGAGGGGCTTGGAGTAGACCTGCTGCTCCTCCATGTCGAGAGGAGCCAGTTGAGGTGGCTCGGGCATCTGGTCCATGGAGAGGTTCTCTGGCCAACTAGGGGGAGACCCAAGGGAAGACCCAGAACTTGCTGGAGGAACTAAGTCTCTCGGCTGGCCAGGGAATACTTTAGGATTTCCCCGGAGGAGCTAGCCCAAGTAGCTGGGGAGAGGGATGTATGGGTGTCCCAACTCCAGATAAGCAGCTGAAAATGGATGGATGGAAATATGACTTTATTGATCCTACAATGTCAGGATAGATCCTCCAGCTCAGGAAAGATAGCATTTTTTCACAGTTGATGTTGAGGTTAGAAAGAAAAAGGGAATATAATTCACCTTTTTAATGTACAAACTGACAAAACTCCATTGAACAAGCAGATGTGTTTGAGTTGAATGTCAAACAAATGCCCACACTCAGAGGACACCTTTGGTATTGCAGTTCTGCTCTGGAGATCCTGCTTGGAGGACTGAAGCCTTTCACTCGCTATGAGCTGGCGGTTCAGTCTAATGGGGTGGATGCTGCGGGACCTTTCAGTGGAACCGTGGAGGAGCCCACTCTGCCTGACCGTGAGTTTCCCCTCCACAGGATCTCCTCTGAAGATAAAAGCTGCACACGCACGCACGCACACACGCACACACACACGCACACACGCACACACGCACACACACACACACACACACACACATACACACACACACACACATACACACACACACACACACACGCACGCACGCACACACACACACACACACACACACACACACACACACACACACACACACACACACACACACACACACACACACACACAAGGCCCCAGCACAGAACCTTGTGGGACACCAGGGGTAAGAGAGGTGGTGGAGGACCTAAACTTGGAGACGGCCACAGAAAAGGAGCGCTCAGAGAGATAAGAGGAGAACACTCCAGAGCAGATCCTGATAGGTCTACCCAGTCTCTCAGCCTCTCCAGTAGCAGGTGATGGTCAACAGTGTCAAAGGCTGCAGTCAGGTCCAGCAGGACCAGAACAGAACAGTCCCCTGCATCACTGTGAGTCAGAAGGTCATTAGAGACCCTAAGAAGAGCTGTTTCAGTAGAATGAGCTCTACGAAAACCTGACTGGAAGCTATCATAGATGTTATGTTCATCAAGAGCAGCTGTGAGTTGTTTAGCCACAACCTTTTCCAAGATCTTGGAGATGAACGGAGGTTTAGAGATGGGTCTGAAGCTGCTATGGAGAGAGGGGTCGAGACTCGGTTTTTTAAGAAGCGGGTGGATTACAGCGTTCTTCAAAGTAAGCAGGGACCTGACCAGAGACCAGAGAAGCATTAATTATAGAGAGCACGCTGGGACTGATGGACTGATTAGATGCAGCAGATGGACGTGGAGATGGGTTTTCTTCCACAAGCGCTCAATTTTTCTGCATTGGCGCTTTAGGCTACGAAGGCTGTCATTAAACCAGGGAGTAGGGTTCACTGCAGAACCTGGAGCCTTGTGTTCCACAAAATAAATAATGAACAAGAATCTGCTTCTAGACCTGCAGAAGGAGAGAAGAAAAAATGGGACACAACAACAATACATCAGGAGCAAGCTATCACTGCGTCAGCCTGATGATGAAATATATAAACAACATTTTTTAACTGAACAATCACACGATAGTAAATCACAATGCATTTAGTGCCAACCACAGCCTTAAGACATGTGTTGAACGTGCCCAAGTCCATACTTATGAGAGCGCCATGTGAGCACCTGTGTGTGTACACGCCCTAACCCATGCTCACACATGCACATACAACCCAAGACTTACAAAAATGCACGCTGGACACCCACTCATGCTCCCCATACACACCCTATTCACTCTGGTCCCAGTACTGCTGCACATGGGGTACAACCATCACCGGTTACCAGAGTTTGACCCTTTCTGCTGGGGTGCTGATGAGCAGGCTCCCCCGGCCAACGCTGAGCACAGCAACCCACCACCCCAGACCCCAACCAGACGGCCAGATCTCCCTCCTAGCCTCCAGCCCCAGGAAGCCAAGCGACAACAGAGGTGGCTAAGACCCCCTAGTCTCCCTCCCCGTACTACAATATAGTGTGTTGATGAGGTGTATTCCATGGCTGTGGTGAGCGGGCAGTGCGGGCATTGCCTGGCCTATGCCAGCTGATGCCACCGCACCACCCCACTTGAACCCACAGCCCTCGGTGTCTAAGTGTGGTTTAAAATTGGAAGTGGGCACCGGCACTCAGGAGGAGGCTGAGATATCCCCCTGCCAAATGCCGTTGAATGTGCTCACTCCCAAGGCCCTAAGTGTGTGTTTGTGCGGAATGTCGTCAGTGGAAGTGTTTAAGGTGCAAATAAAATTGGGGGGCAGGTTGCCACAGGAATGCAGAAATGGGGTCCATACCCGCACTCCCTGTCTTGCCCACCCCCCAAGGACCTATGTGCATGTTTGTGTGATGTGAGGGAGCAGGAGGAGAAAAATATACGGGGATGGGGAGGAATGGCTGGTTGGGCTTAGCCCTCCAGGGAGCCAGCTCCCCCACTGGCCCCAATAGGCACCTCTGTTGTCAACATGCCACCTAGGGCATGGAGACCCCAGCCCATCCTGCCAGGGCCCAAAGCAGCAGCATAACAGAGCCTCACGGAATCTGAGGGCGCCAACCCAGCCCCACCCCAGCAGAATATCTACGCCCATCCCTGCATTTGCACAACTTCCACACTATAAAAATCTATAAAAGCTGTGCTCTCATTAAGAAAACGAGAAGGTTCAGATCCATTCGGACCAGAACCTCTCGCCACAAAAACAGTTTCTTCCCCTCTGCAGTTGGACTTTTGAATGAAAATCCTAGGGCAGCCCACTCAAGTTGATTGGTCCCAGTCACGTGACCCGATGCTGTGCTTGAACCATTCAACAAACACTCAGATTAGTACCTACACGGAGTAGATAGCTGCTTCTCTAATTCTTGCCACTTTTTACATTAATAATTTTATCATGAGTGTTTTATTAGTTCTTATATTTGCTTATCTCTTAATTATTTTTTTTTCTATCTTACCTTCTGCACCAAAATACCGCAGCAATTTCCTAATATTGGGACTTGGCACACATATGGCAATAAAAACTTCTGATTCTGAGAACTAACCATACAGCGAGCAGGAGGTGGGGACGCAGAAACTGACAAGTTAAAGAAAATGCAATGGTGATCTGAAATATAAACGTCCTCAGGACAAACACTGTCAGCGTTTAGACTCAGGGTAAAAACAAGGTCTAGAGTGTGCCCCCTGGTGTGTGTGGGGCCAGAAACATGCTGGGTAAAGCTGAAGGAGTCCATGAGGCTGGAGAAATTCATGGCAAAGAGATCGGAGGGATCATCAACGTGGATGTTAAAGCCACCAACAATCACCAGTCTGGACAGCTTCACAGTGGAGGATAGGAAGTCACTAAACTCCTGAAGGAAAGAACTGTTTGGACCAGGTGGACGATAGACCACAGCACAGTAGAACGGGTCCTTACGCCCGACTTTAATCAGCTGCAGTTCAAAGGAAGCAAAGTGACCAGAGGTTGTAGAGCTACGTGGAAGATGGTCTCTGAAAACAACAGCTAGGCCTCCACCACGACCAGAACCCCGGGGCTGGCTAAGAAAAGAATAACCACTCGGGCAGAGTTCAATCAGAGCAGAATAATCAGATGTTTGCTGCCAAACTTCAGTCAGAAACAGAAAATCCAGGTTTTTAGAGAGAATTAGATCATTGAGCAGGAAGGACTTATTGTTAACAGAGCGGGTATTTAATAGAGCCATGCTGAGTGAGGTGGAGGAATCAGAAACTACAGAACCAGCTGGAGTTAGTGGACGTAAATTAGCAGGGTTAGATCCATGGTGTTTATAAAAACCACTTATGGAGGGAACAGGAGGAGAAACCACTGAGGAATGAGGATAAACTGACCTTAAAAAACTTGGACGGATGAACCGCGTCGCAACACGGCCTGGCGGGAATGCGGAAGTGGCGCTCAGGTCACCAAACAAAGGAAGAGAAGCTAGAAGCATAAACAAGTGCGTGTACACACACAGGTGCTCTCACGCAGCCTTAAGGCTGTGGTGGGCACTTAATGCACTGTGATTTATTATCGTGATTGTTCAGTTAAACTATGTTGATTATATACTTCTTCATCAAGTTGACGCAGTGATAGCTTGATCTTGTAGTATTGTTGTGTCCCTTTTTTTCTATTTCTTTTCTTGTCTCTTTCTGCAGGTCTAGAAGCAGACTCTTGTTCATTATTGTTTATTTTTGTGGACCCCCCCCCCCCCCCACCACCACCACCACCACCTTTTGTCTCTTCCTTTCCTTTCTCTTTCACCTCTGTCTCCGTGTCTGGTCGGAATTACAAAGCATCAAAAAACAATAACAATAAAGTTTTAAGTATCAGGCGTGACATTAAAAGCAGACGCTGTGATGCTCCACCTGAGAGTAAATCTGTAAGGCTTGCTACCAGCATTCAGACATCAATTCTGCTTGCTTCACAGCCAGACGGGACACACACACACACACACACACACACACACACACACACACACACAAAGAGAAGTCTTATACTCACCTGGATTCCTGCTCGTTTACCTCTTTTCCTCCGACGTTTTCCTGGGATCAGTAAAACATCGCTGGAGGCGTTCAGGTAGGAATCAGCATTTGGCTCCGGGCCAGCTCGCCGCTCACGTAAACAAGCAGAGAGGTAAATCCTCGGTGCATCGTGAGCAGTCGCAGACAAACTGAAGAACAAAAGATCCTGGCGATCATAGCAGATGGTAGCCGGCACAGTACCGAAGAGGATCGCGGACAGAAGGGGGGCGGAAAGGTTAGTAGAGATAAGTTTGAAAACGTGCCCGGTGACCACGGCTAAACCAATCACAGGCGCCATCTTGTTACCGACGCTGAAGCGGAAGAGGGTAGAGATGTGTGTTAGAATAGTCTGTGGACGTTTTACAGATGTGATACTTTAATAATCGTATTTCTGGCTACACACTACAGGCTAATCCTGTGCAAAGCAAAATCTAGAAGAGATCTTCATGTTTTAAAGCTCATATTCATACCTGTGACTGTTTGCTGCAGGATATTTTACATGCTGGTGACTATCAGCTCACTCACTCTGTTGGCTGGCCTGTAGCAACAGGATGCTAAAACTGCTGTAGTCGAGCGCTCAGGTGTTAGGATGGCTCCTGCATTGGACAGCAGCTCGGATTGGGCCCTCAGGTGTGGTTGGTGAATGGTATCGTTGTTATTAGAGTGGTTCAATCCTCACACTATCCACTAGTTGCATCATCACCTCAGCCCTTGCCCCTCCTGCCAGTACCCTGGTTGCTCCTCATGTCCTGTACCCAGGTGGCAGCAAGCGACACAAGGATGCAGATAGCTGTCACACAGCAGACACCCCCCTCCACCCCACCCCACCGAGACAATGTAGGCTCTGCAGCTGTGAGGCCTCGTTTCTGGGCTCTAATGACTGACCCGATCCAGCTCTCTCCCTCAGGGCCCTCCACACCACCCGAGGAACTGCAGCTGAGTACGCTGGACCCATCTTCTGTGCTGGTGAGCTGGCGCCCTCCACTGGAACCCAATGGTATCATCGTCAGCTACAGGATTTTGTACAGCATCAAGCTCAGTGAGCCGGAGCACTTATGGAAAAATCTCTCAGAGGATGGTAAGTTTTCCTTTTGGAAACCTGCAGACTGGTGTCTAATTCTTGTCTTGTGGTAAGTCATGTGTTCATTACAGAACCCCGTCTCTCTCAGGTGGTGTTAGGAGCGTGGCGGTCCGTGGTTTGTCCAGTGGGACTCGTTACTTCTTTAAACTGGGAGCTTCTACAGAAGTTGGGCCTGGACCCTTTTCACCTGTAAAAGACGTTCAAACTCCTCTGCCCAAATATGGTGTGTCAAGAGACTTTATATTGCATTTATCAACACAAACAAAACATACCTTTATTTAAAGCATTTAAAGCTGAATCATCAGAAAATACAAATATATTGAGGATGACCAAACCTTTTGCCTCCCAAAGGCGCGCCTGTGCACTCAGGGTGACTAAACACAGATTTCCAGGTTATTCCATTAGTCGCAGGACCTTTATCAGCATCTTTTTTAGATTTAAACTACAATGAAATGAAAGTAAAGTAACAGTAACTGACTGTTTGTCTCCATCCCATGTGCTCCATCTGAGCTGCCAGTGAACGTGTGTGTGTGTGTGTGTGTGTGTGTGTGTGGGGGGGGGGGGGGGGGGGGGGGGGGGGCTGCCATCTGCTTTTTCTCTGCTCCTGATCCACAATGCCAGGTGTGAATGAATATCAGTGAAGGTCTGCTTGCTCAGGTTGATTCAGTGTAAAGGTCCTCCTGCTCGTGGAACCGTTTGGGCCCACCAGGGGCTTTAGTGGGCTGGGTCTGGACTAGTGTGGGCAGGAGAACCCACACTTACCCCTGAGTTCACCCACTAGGATCTTGTGTATGGCTGCATGAATGGGGCCCATATGCTTTCCCACATTTCCCCATTTTGATGTAGTGAAGGACAACCCACAGATGAATCTGCCCAAAGGCACCCCATGCTGAGCCCTCGTGGGTTGCCCTGGACCACCTAATGGATGTTTGCACCTAACGTTGGTTATTTCTGTGGGGTCTACCCAGAACCCGAACCCGAACCCATGTCAGCACATGTAGGGAGTCCAGGAAAACCAACAAACCTTTAAGAAAACGAGTTTTTCCTTTAAAAAGACGATGCATAATGTAGACACTTAAAATGAATAGATGTCAAATATTTCAGCATTGAACAAAATAAAACAGAAATGTGACCCAACTGTAGATGAGGTGTTAGAGCGATGCTTAGTGGTTGTACGGGTAGGGCAGCAGCTCAGGATAATGGGTGGGTTCAAAACTGCTGTTTAAATCTGTTATTCTGTGTATGCAGGGCGGGAAGCCCACACATGCCACGGTACCACCGTGAAATGCACAAGGGCTCCACAGTGATGGGCCAAACTGGGGCCACAGGGGGCAGCCCACATATGCAGACCAAGCCCCACTTGGCCCCTAAGTGGCCCCAAATGATGGGATTTGCAATGAGCCCACATTTCACCACAGCTGTGAGTCCGAGTGTGGCCAACCCTTTGTGGGCCAAGTCTTTGCCCAGAGGGATCCCACATGGGGGCACAAATGGGCGTTTGCTCGGTTACATTACAGAACATGCTGGAAGTCCTTAGCTGTTCTTTAGTTGAGAGCTGTGACAAGTTTATAATAATATGAGGTAAGTGATCTGAGATTAAAGAACAAAACTTTAACATCTGTTTCCAGAACTGGACATCCAGGCGGTCACGGGCATCATCTTTGGTGTGTGCTTGGGGCTGATATGCATCCTTCTCTGCATGTGCTACAGTTTCCGTAGTAACAAGAGCAGGTGAGACGTCAGCATACCTGGAATAAGTACCATCATTATGTTTTTTATCCACTGTGTTCTTTAAAATGTCCCCTCGCTAATAAAAAGTCAGCTCCAATAAATACAACATTGTTTTTTCCTTTTCTAACCGTGTCTTTGATCCAACCAGGGAGGCGTCTGTGGGTCTGAGCTCCACAGCGGCTGCATACAGGAAAGGTGGCTTCCCCGTTCCCGCCGATGTGCCAGACGGTGGTGATAGTCACGAGCTGGAGACGCTGGTGCCTCCGGGAAGCCACGGCTCAGGTCAGCAGGCAGCAGAGGACGCAGAGGCCCAGAGTCTGATGGCGAGCACCTCTCTGGGGGAGGGGGAGGACACCCCTGCACCTGAACCCAAGGTCAAAACCTGCAAGGGGAATGCTCATTTCCACACGGGCCACTGGTATTTTGAGCCTTTTGTGTGTGTTAATGGAAGAAAGCAGTGCTCGTTTTAACTGCTCCACTTTGTTGTTTCCTCAGCAGGTTGTCTGGAACGGCTCAGTAAGTCACAACTGGGTCAACAGGATCACGACCTACAGAGACACCATAACAGAAGATTCACCAGCGATGACTAACGGCGCTCTAAAGACGGGTTTCACTGCCAACGGCACGGTAACCATCTTTTTATCAGCCTGTTTCAGTAGACGACGCTGCCTAAACTAAGACAACGACTCAGAGATGATTAAGAAAAGGAAACGTCTCCTGGTGTTTAAAATGGCTTCCTGTGTGAAGACGATGGTGCCGCCTGTTGCAGCAGCTCTCGTCTCTTTTCTCCTTCCTGTTTGCTTGTCTTGTGCTGCGTGTTCTTAGCGCCCCTCACCGCACCATCCACAGGACTACCTCTGTGTTGGGAACGCTCTGGGAAGTTCCTCCAGCACCAGAGCTGTTTGGACACCGGCACTCTTCCACACGGAAAAGGCTCCAGGCAGGAGAGGAAACATTTTACCTCCGTGGTTATGGGAAATGTCCATTCGCTGCCCAGTAGGACTGACAAGCTCACAGCGCTGCTGCAGCAGGACTACTGCTGGGTTTCACTCACGCGACGTCTGCAGCCGCACCAAACTCAAGCGGGGGCAGGAAGTGCGTTGCTCCACGACTAAACAGAAATACAACACGACGCGATGGACGAACGCCATTTTACTGAGTCTTTAAAGGAGCTGGCACAGACGCGATGTCATCTTCTTCTAGGTTATGAGTCGCACTTTTCATTCCCTGTGGAGGATTTAGCCGGCGCTGCAGCGATCGGCAACAAGCCGCCTTGTGCTGCCGTCCTCGGATCACGCTGCAAACCAAATGAAAGCCTTTTACTCGCCTGGAGGCTGTTCAGTGATCCAGAGAAGCTTTAAATGACCCTCGTCTTGTTTTTGCTCTGTAGTTCATTTTAACCCATTAGCTCATGATGATGTAAGCGGGTGATGTGTTGTGTGCATGTGCTGCGAACCCTGAGCCTTACTGAGGCGGGGCTCTTACCCTCAGTCTCTCCAGCGGTTTTTGGGGCCTCGTGAAGCTCTTCGGCAAACTGAGACGTGTTCCCCAACTCCAAAGGTGTTTCCCTACCTCTTCTTTGTCCTGGGACCGTTGGTTCGAGCCCCCTACTGCTCACACTTTGCATTAGTGGCAGCGGCGTTTGGTGACGTTTACCCCGGGACGTGAGAAGGCGGCTGTTAGCTACACTGGACCGTGCTCGGATGCTCTTCTTCTGGTATGGATGACGAGGACAAGTACAGCCCAGTTTGGACTGAAGATGTGTGTAATGTCAGGGTGGAGCTGCCGGCGCCGTCTTGTGATGACGGTCGTAAACTCTTCGCTACTTGGATGAAGCAGTTTGAGGCTGCCGTGCGAGCTCAAACCTGCGGAGCTACACCGCCACTATGGCTGCTCTTTGCCCTCCAGACTGGACGGCGCCACTTTCCTTTTGTGGGACAGCCTCCCTGCGGCGGCACGAGGTGACTGGCCGCCTTTAATCAGAATCAGAATCAGAAAAGGTTCATTGCCATTGTTAGTGAACAAACGATTCACAAACTAGGAACTTGCTTCGGTACTAACGTGCTACATATGACATGAATAATATAATTAAAAAATAGAATAGAGTAGAATAAAATATAATAACTAGCATAAAACTTTGCTATAAAAAAGGCAGGTAATGGTAACATGGCCGATAACGTGACGTTATGTCAAGTACAGAAGACCAGCATGGTTGTGTGTTTATAAGCTGTTCACAAGTCTAACGGCAGATGGAAAGAAGCTGTTCTTATGGCGAGAGGTTCTGGTCTGGATGGACCGTAACCTCCTGCCTGAGGGAAGCGGCTCAAAAAGTCTGTGACCCGGGTGAGAATGGTCAGCTGCTATCCGACCTGCACGCCCCCGAGTTCTGGAGACGGACAGGTCCTGGAGAGATGGAAGGCTGCAGCCAATCACCTTCTCAGCGGAGCGCACAATGCGCTGCAGTCTATGTTTGTCCCTCACCGTGGCTCCAGCGTACCACACAGCGATGGAGGAGGTGAGGATGGACTCAATGATGGCCGTGTAAAACTGCACCATCATCTGGGCCGGCAGCTTGGCCTTTTTCAACTGCAGCAGGAAGTACATCCTCTGCTGGGCCTTTTTGATCAGGGAGCTGATGGATGGCTCCCACCTAAGGTCATGTGTGATGGTGGTTCTGAGGAAGCGGAAGGAGTCCACAGTGGTGACGGGGGTGTCCGTCAGGACGAGGGGGAGAGATGGGGCGGTGACTTTCCTGAAGTCCACAATCATCTCCACTGTCTTCTGAGCATTGAGCTCCAGGTTGTTGCTGCTGCACCAGTACACCAGCCGTTCCACCTCCCTCCTGTAGGCGGACTCATCACCGTCAGAGATGAGCCCGATGAGGGTGGTGTCGTCCGCAAACTTGATCAGTTTAACGGAGTCATGGCTCGAGGTGCAGCAGTTTGTGTACAGGGAGATGAGCAGAGGAGAAAGCACACAGCCCTGTGGGGATCCTGTGCTAATTGTCTTAGTGGTGGAGACATTCTTCCCCAGCCGCACGCACTGCCTTCGGTCCGTCAGGAAGTCAGTGATCCACCTGCAGGTGGAGTTGGGTACGTTGAGCATGGAGAGCTAGTCCTGGAGAGACGTTAAATGAGACATGTGGACATCCCATGCTGCGCTCTCAGACCTGTGTCTCTGCTCGGCCTAGGCTGGCTAATGAGAGTTAGGAGCGATACGCAGCTGATATGTCGAGGCTTGTCACGGGGCCATGAGCAGGAAGCAGTGGCGCAAAAGGGAGAGAAGTTTAGCTGTTTTCTGGCTGGACTGGACCCTGGCCTTCGTGCTAAATGCCATGACCCGGGGGCTACTGATCTGGACGAGGCACTGACTAGCTGGACGTTGTGAGCGGGCTAGACTGGTCATGGGGAGGCAGACCGGCCCCTCCTCCCGCTGGGACCGCCGACAGGGGCTGTGATAATACCGCTGTGGAGCGTTTAACAGCCAGGATGGACAAATGGATGTGAAAGTCATGAAGGCGCAAAGATGGCAGAGGGCTCATCTTCCAGATCATGCAGCACACATGGACCAGCATTTTCCCACATTCGTACCCACAAACGGACCTCCAGCAGTAAGGGATCATCTGAGCGCAGGCAGTAAGATCCAGAACTATAACTAAGAACATGATAGGTCCGAATGAAAAATGGTTGCCACTCCTCCTCCTCGCCCTGTACTTCCAGCAATATGATGATTTAAATCATTTGAAGGAGTCGACTCGTTTAAGCTAACATAGTCCTCTTGCTGCAGCCAGGATTCTGTGAGAGAGAGCAAAGAGATCTGATTATCACAAATCAAGTCATTAACTAACAAAGTCTTAGAAAAAATGGATCTAATGTTCAACAACCCACATTTAATTTTTCTAGTTTTCTGCTCAGTTAATTTGTTCTAATATTTATGAGATTTCCATGATTTGCTTTATTAAGCCTGATATTTAATCTGTGTGGTTTTGGCCGTGGGCAGGACACTGTCTCTATGGGGTAGTGGGTGGGTAACAGTACAGAAGCTGCAGAGGGGTGGGTTAAACTACGACTCTGCTTCCTGGTCTGGACCCTGGGTTGTCATGGAGGACTAATAAAACTGGCCATGTTCCTAGAAAGAAGAGCTGCTCCATCCAAAGAGGGATGGATGCCGTCTCTCCGCATCAGACCAGGTGATGCAAATCAGGAAGGAAACGGAAGAAAATCTAAAAATTTACATTCAGCATCTTTTCTTTCTTCTCCAATAGTCGTGGTCCAGCTGGTGAGATGTTTTCAGTGACGTGTTTCATCTCTAGTGATGCAGTGGAATGTGAACATTGTAGATCGACTCGTATTGACATGATAACTCATCTGTATTTTGTAATTAAATGACAAAAAAACCCAGTAAGACACTAAGTGATAGGACCCCCAGCAGAGGGCAGCAGACACATGTGGGACTAGACGTGGCAGGTTTGGGATGAAGGTGCTAATCCTGATGCTGCGTCTTCAGGATTTAGTTGATGACCGTAGTCTAGAAGGGGTTAAAGGTGAGACAGCCTGCCTAGTGGGACAAATCGATCATGAGTTCGGGACCTGAACCAGAGACTCTCGTTTCCATTGAATCTATTGAACTCAGCAAAATGGCCTCCATCTCCCAACAGTCATAAACCAGGAGTAACCTGTTCTGTTCTCGTCATGAAGGCGGGTCTCAGAGTTCAGTTACGGTCCGTAGGGTTTGAATCCGGGCTAGAGAAGATATTACCTTCATGACCGAGGATGAGCTTTTTTCTGGTGGTCAGACAAAATAAGCCTTTCTGCTCCAAGGCTGCTGTGAGCCAGATACAATTAGAGATGCTAACAGGCTAGGCTCGTAAAGAGAAGTGGCTGATGGACTTTGTTTTGTTGCAGGGACTCGGCGACGGGCAGGGCGCTTCACTGTGCAGTAACCACAGCAACCAGGTGGAGGCGGAAGTCATCGTTCACTCTGGGCTGTCTGACCCTGGCAGGGAGAAGGAGGAGGATGACAGCACCAGAGGACCCTCGCTTTCCCAGGATGTTTATTCCCCCTCGAGTCAGCCGAGTTCACCAGGACAGGTGGAGTCAAACGGAAAACTTCAGCTGGCTGAAAGTCCCTCGAGTCTTCCTTTGAAAAGATTTGTGGCGAATCACAACGGGCTGCTAGAACGCACGGGGCACACGCTGTGTGCAGACGTAGAGCTGCAGCGGGACACGGGGTTAACCAACGGCCTCCGCTCCTCTACGACAGTGGGGCCTACTCTGAGGTCAGAGCAGACGGAAAATGGAGACTCCAGACTCCGCCCATCTGCAGTAGGGAAGGTCATCTCTGCAGGACTATCGCCTGCACCCTTTGTTAGCTCCGGCTTTGTGCACTCTACCTCAGCGGCACACACATATCTGTGTCCGTAGCGTCTGCATCGTGGCCACGCATCAGCGAACTTCCAGCCTGGATTATGTTACACCCAGGAAGAATCCACAGCAAGTCCCACGTGGCATGTGTGATCCTGTTTGTGTTTTTGTGGAGAACAGTTCAGGGGTTCCCCGTCTGCACAGCTGCTCTGTCATAAAGGGCAGATGGATGTGAGTTGGAGAAGGCTGCTTCTCCGTGTCCAATCAGGAATGAGAGAAACCCAGGAAGTGAGCGAGCCGCTGAGCAGGCAGCGTCGGGAGGGTCTGACGCTTCAGCACGTGGATGCTTCAGTATTGTGGCGTTGAGGAATACGCCTCAGCACACGCGCACGCTGTGAGAGTGTTTGTCTCTCCAGCATCCTGCAGTCTCAGGGTCCAAATGCTCACACACACGGAAACCTTCTCACAGGCGTCACAGCCGTTTCCAGATGTGCATAAACTCATGTTTACACCATGTTTAGGAGTGTAAAGAGTCTCAGGTGCCTAATTCTTCTAGGTGCATTCATGACGCGTCTTTTTTACTGAGGATCATATCAGCACAAACATGTCTGCGTGCTACTTTTGAAATAAATGTGCAGATTTGGTTCAGTTTGCTTTCTGAGTTTTTAAACGTTGGTTTTGTTTGTAGAAGTTACCTGCAGCCGTGCTCCAGCTCTTCCAGGTGCACTAACGTCTTCACAGGTGCACAGTGCTGGCAGGTTTTTAAGCCTTTATGCTAGCAGGTTTAAAATCTCCCAGTTTCTTCATCAGAAAGCAGCTGGTCTACATGTTAAGAGGTGTGGAACACTGAGAACCCAGCCTTCCTCAGCGCCTACGGGGGGATCCGTCACTAAATCCAACTAATCAGCTGGGTTCGTGATCTAAAACACGCAGAAACGTGCTGGAGCCAGACCGCAGCGCCAGAGAGGTCCGCTCAATTTATTTCAAAGTCCAACAGACCAGACCGGCACTCTGAAGATGCAAATGCGGTATTGTGTCCACACAGCGCAGTGGGGGTCTGAGTGAAATGTCACGAACCCTGTAAAGAGGCATTTTTGCACAAGCTCAAGAAAATAGTTTAAAAATATGATCAAGTTGCAAAGTACGGCTTTAACATTCATGGACTCACGACGGGGAAGCTGTTGTTGGTTTAGACCAGGAAACGGCACAGAACGTCCCAGCTAGTAGAAGCTAACTGTTAGCATTAGCTACTCCACCACTCAGCAGAACTCCTCCAGGCTTGTGTTATTGGTGGAGATGAAACGTCAACGTATCAGAGCAGCCGGAGTCAGTGGTAGAGTTGTGTTGCTGTTAGCCAATCAGAGGAGAGATTTTCTGATCGGGCTCACTTTTACTTCCTGTAAGTGGCGCGCTGCAGCGTTTTTCCCCAGAGTACAACTTACACATGGTTCTACAACCCCCCAAGGCGCTTCACAACACACTCAGTCGTTCACACGCTGGTGGTGATGAGCTACGATGTAGCCGCAGCTGCCCGGGGCGCACTGACAGAGGCCAAAACTGGCGCCACCGGTCCCTCCGACCACCACCAGCAGGCAAGGTGGGTCAAGTGTCTTGCCCAAGGACACAACAGCAGCATTCTCTGGTGAGAGCCAGCGTTGGACCTGCAACCTTCTGATTAGTGGACAACCTGCTGTACCCCCTGAGCTGCTGCTGCCTTGACCTGGCATTCATTCCTACTAGAGAGCTCCTGAGATGCAGAAGCGAGAGTCCCACAGCTCTAGTGAAGCTCCACAGCCAGAAGCTGCTCACCTGATGAATAGGTTCATTTGTGTAGTTGAAGCGATCGACTGGTGCACTACCTCAGTTCTCTGCACCTTTATGACACTTGAAAGCGTGTCTGCTTCCACAGCCTGGGCTTTTGAAGATATTCCCGGGCCCTTGTTTCTCAGACTCCTGTTTTCCTGCCTACCAATGACATTTAGGATGTGTGTAGAAACAAACACCTGATGTATGACACATGCAGAGGGTTAGGGTTAGGGTTAGCCTCTCGAACGCCCGCTCCTCTGCAGCCGTCTGATGATAAACCCCACCTGTGCGTACCCAGGTGCTCGTGTCCATTCTCAGTCATTTACATACAGGAACACCCTCAGTTAACCATATTTGGTCACACTACATCCTCAGCACGAGGGGAACTCCCTGTTTTTTTCCCAGAAAAATAGGAAAACTATTGACGGCCAGATGGAAACACTGCTGAGGTGCAGAAGAACTGACCAAAGTGCAGCGGTGATGAAGCGGTCGGGACAGAGGAGAGGTCCCCATCACAACTAAAGAGAAGATCAGTCGTGTTGTTAAGGAGTCGTTCTGGTTGGAGTTCGTTTCGTTTGGAAATGTCTGAATGTCATTCATTCTGGTTACCTTGGCAACGCGGCGTGAATGATCATGGGGCACAGGACGTTCTCATTGCTGTAAAATAAAATATGAACTGGAACGGGATTATCTGTCGCTCCCAAATCCCAACACAGAGGATTTCCTCTGAGATCAGAGCGTTCCCTCCAGAGAGCACGCTCGCCTAAGCCCTCCAGTAACAGAACAGCCATGAGGTCAGAGTCCCGTCGGCCACAGGTGTCTTTCATTGGTTTTACCACCAGTTGTGCAAAAAAGCCGTTTTCCACCAACATAATTATGTACTGGGTAAACTGATTAGTGATGGGGACGGCTGAGAGCTTCACGACTGCGGTTCCCTGCTGCTTCTACACTGGACGCTGTTCCTACGCATGGTCACAGCTGTTCCTACGCATGGTCACAGCTGTTCTTACGCATGGTCACAGCTGTTCTTACGCATGGTCACAGCTGTTCCTACGCATGGTCACAGCTGTTCCTACGCATGGTCACAGCTGTTCCTACGCATGGTCACAGCTGTTCCTACGCATGGTCACAGCTGTTCCTACGCATGGTCACAGCTGTTCCTACGCATGGTCACAGCTGTTCCTACGCATGGTCACAGCTGTTCCTACGCATGGTCACAGCTGTTCCTACGCATGATCACAGCTGTTCTTACGCATGGTCACAGCTGTTCCTACATGTAGGAACGTTTCAAGTACAGATTAGTAAATACCACACAACGCGTAAAACCGTTCCTACGCCCAGATCCGTTCATGAGTACGGTTGGCAGATGAGGGCCCGGGTTGTTAGACGGCTGTCTGGGTTTGATCTGAGTCGAGGAGGTCTGGGTATCCTTCTGCTGCTGCTTCTGAGAATGAAGCTAATGTTCAGTCCTGCATTCTGCATCCAACTAAAAGCATTTAGTCACACACTTAGGGCATTTCTAAACAAGCAGGTACTTCTGACTTTCGGGACACTCGGCAGCTGCAGCTGGTGCCTCTGTTGTGGAGGAGAGGTCATGATCTACAGAGATGATGCTTGCAGAGATGCAACCCAAGCCTCGGAGAAGGCGTGTGGTTAGGAACACTGGCACGTTTGCAAAGGTTACAGACGCTAAATGTAAGGGCGTGTGTGCTTGCCTCTTGACAAGATCCTGTTGATAAGCCAGTTTATTTCCTTTTGGTTGTACTTGTAAGGGGAACGTATCTATTGATTAAGTTTGTTGGTGCAAATCTGTGGCAGGCCAAACAAGTCATTCTGTGTTTGACTTAGTTTGGTTGGATCGGTGAATGGAGTCAGGAACGAGGCATATTTGCTAAATATTGTGTGTACAGCTGTCAGGTCGTGGGTCCAGAGTGAGAACAGGCAGCTGTGGGGTCAGGGTGAAGGAAACACGGCGTATCTCCACAGGAGAGGGCGTGGATGAGGGCTTTTGAAGAGCGGGACATCATGAGGAGGTGGCAGCAGGCTGTGTGTGGTTCCTCTACGGGCCACAGAGGCTCATGAAGAAACAACGGGACACCCGAGCTAACGAACACCAGTAAGAGTTCAGTACAGACAACAGTTTCATTTCTAGTCCAGGAACTCGGCTTTGCTGCTGAACTAAACCCATAAATGAGGTTTTCGTTGGAAGGCTGTTCTGTGGGAGCACATCTGTTGTGACAGAAGAGAAAATGGACCTAACTCTACTTCTGCAGCCTTGTTGCTTTTATTCAGCCAGCAGCAGAACGCCGTTGGTCCAGTGAAGCCGACTCCGAGACACCTGCAGCTGGCAGGGACAGGTTACGCCAGCTTCACTTTGTGTTTTAAACCAGGTGCATGGCTAGTGTTTCACACACTTGTTTTCCATCCTGAAGCGTGTTTATACAGATGGAGACTGATCTGCTTCTGTCAAACTGCAGCTGTAGTCATCTTCCTGTCAGAAGTGAAGGCTTTCAAACCCAAACTGTCAAAAATCAAACAAAAACGGGTAGAAGGAGGTTTACATCAGTAAAAAAAACTACTCATGTGGGGGAAAGTTTAGAAAAGCTGCAGCTGCCAAAATTCAAGTGACTTTTATTTTGGCTGTGCTCCTGTGTGTGATGTCAGAGCTGGTTTCTATTCCTGGGAAACGCCTGCTGGGACGTTATTTAAATGTAACGACAGCAAATGCAGCCACGGCTTTTCTATTTGTGGGTTTGATGATGTAGACGCTAAAAGTGTCCTTCCTAAAACGAGTTCACCTCCAGTCCTGGAAGAGATTGCTCTCCAACGTTCCGACACACGCCTGTCGGCTGTGATTAGCTGAGGGAGCTTAAGAGAAGTTCTGGAAACCCACTTAGTGTGTTCGTAGCTCTGACAGGCTTCATCCAGGCCTTGGTCCACTTATTTACTCACAGCTGCTCGAGCAACAGCCAAGCTTCAGTGAATAGCAGCACTGGAGGTTTTAACTGGGAACACCGATGTTGTGCATGCTTTCCCGGACCAGCGCGATCTGCTGTACGTTCTTGCGGTTTGTCTTCAAATTCCATTTTTGGTTCTTTTTTAAACACAGAAAAGGTTTTTCTTTACCTTGCTGACGTTTCGTTTGCGGCTGCAAAACATCCTCAGAGCTGACGCTGATGGTGGCGTCACTTCCTACTCTGTTTATCCGTGGGCAGCAGAGGACCATGAACAGAGACGATGGAGTTTACTCGTTGGACTGTGCATGGGACTGCATCATCGGAGAGGGGAGAGCGGGCAGCAGAGGGCGACAACGTCCTCTGTTACCCGCAGATAAACAGAGTAGGAAGTGATGCCACCATCAGCATCAGCTCTGAAGATGTTTGTAAAAGTAGACAAGGTGTCTGCCTCATGGACTAAGGCTGGGAGCTGGTTCCACAGGAGAGGAGCCTGATAACTAAAAGATCTGCCTCCCATCCTAAGTTTAGATATTCTGGGAACCACCAGTAGACCTGCAGTCTGAGAGCGAAGTGCTCGGTTAGGAACGTATGGAACAATCAGATCACTGATGTATGATGGAGCTTGATTATTAAGAGCTTTATATGTGAGAAGGAGGATCTTAAAATCTATTCTGACTTTAACAGGTAGCCAATGTAGGGAAGCTAAGACAGGAGAGATATGATCTCTCTTTTTAATTCTCATCAGAACTCTAGCTGCAGCATTTTGGACAAGCTGAAGACTTTTAACTACATTCTGTGGACTTCCTGAGAGTAATGAATTACAGTAATCCAGTCTTGATGTAATAAATGCATGAACTAGTTTTTCAGCATCACTCCTGGAAAGGA